CGTAACATACATCGCTATAACCCATATATAGTTATAACCCATTACATAAATTCAATCTGAATAGAAGTACCGTAAAATATATACCTATAACCCATTTATCGGAAAAATAGAGCATCAACGTATTGTATATATTAACGATGATATCACAATATAGAATAGTTGTTATACATCTCTGGTTTTGTAGCTGGAAATGATACAACTTGACAAACTATTAACTCTTATATATCTCTTTTTGTAGCTCGAGTTTGACAAACTATTAAGTGTTATGTATCTCTTTTTTTGTAGCTGGAATTGATACAACTCGAATAACTATTAACTGGACTATTCTATTATTGATATCACATCCGGAAATACAGAAAAAAGTCCACGAGGAATTAGATCAAGTTTTCGGTGAGTTTTCTTTTTAAACCTCCATTCATACTGATCTATGACGCTATATTCTAACATGCGCCTGGACACGTACTTATTACGGTTCCTTGTACCCAATCGAAATTAGTGCTGAAATATGCAGGGTATTACGTAAAGACCTTGATAAGATGTACGTAGTTAAAGTGAGATCAAGCCTTCTATTGAAGATGATTATACCATTAAACCGTCTGCTGTAAAAGTCAATTTCATTTTGCGTGGCCTTTATAATGGTATTACACTATATTTTAATCGAACCAACATTTCTTTTTACAACTGCGTTCTGTCAGTGACAATTCTCAATTAATTCGACACCAGTCAGAATTTTCGTCAGAGACTCATGTAAAATGACAAATGAACATGAATTCCTTTAAGCGAATATCTATCCTGGTGAGTTGAGGCTTAACGATAACACAAAAACTTGACTCCATAACGATTAACAAACGTGACGATTTTAATTGTTCTAGCTCAGTGTGTGGCCATTGTGGAACGATGACTTTCTTTGTAATACCTTAGGCCGCTGAAAAGTACAATTGAGATGTTAAAGTAAAGAAATGATTGTACAATGTGTTGCCACACGGCTGTTTTGTAATTCTGTTGGACATTAAACATATTTTTATTTGGGTTCAGATGCTGGACAAGCCCCCACTTTAAATGTCAGAGATAGGTTGCCATATACCGAAGCTGTTTTACATGAAAGTATGAGATTGTGTCCAGTAGCTCCTTTGGGATTACCACATGCTACCCGATGTGATACAACGATCGGTAAGTGTTTAATTAATATTTGGACAAATAAAGCAATGGGAATTAATATTCATTTAGTATCAACTGGGTCATTACGGGACTTCGTGGATCATTATCCACGAGGATAACCTGGAGAAAATCAACGAGGTTAGATAGGGGATCTTACTTTAAGTACAAGCCTGCTGGTCGCAACCACCACACCACACTCAATGGCCATCTCTGAGGTCTAAGCAAAGTATTAACATTTCCTGGTTTGGGTAATTAGTGTAATTAACCATTTAAAAGAAAATTAAATACATATTAAGAGTCCAGGAGAAGAACAATCTAAGTCACATTTTGTCTTTTCGCATAAAAGGCAAAACAGACTTTTGGACGAGAATGCTTGACACGAACAGAAAAACGAGTGGATTTAATTACAACTTCAAAATGATGTTTAATACGAAGCATAATTACTAGTACAACATCTGACTTCCACTTTTCAGCCAAAGTAAGGTAAAATAAAGGGTACGATAGACGTATTTGTCCGGGGGGGGGGGGGCGTTTCAGAAGGGCCTTGGTTCGATGTGACTCCGATCGATTTTATCTGAAATTGATTGTTCCACAGAAAGTTTATACAATTTACTGCCAGATGGCGCCATTAACTTGGGGTCGTTGAAAAAGTGACATAGATCGTTCTTCCCCGGGGCTCTTCATATGATATACCTTTTTGTTATAAGGATTTTCGGACTAAGGTGAATTTGTAAGATCTGGGTTTCGAACACCCGCATAAATGCGGCTCATTCTGTTAATCAGTAGATGTATAATTTAACAATGGATTCTTTGTGGGATGCGCACCAATGTTATTATACTTGTTATTTGTGTGAGCCGTATTTGTAGGCAGATATTGTCGTGTTCAAGATATACTTGGTCAAATTTATACCATGAATCTCGTATCTCAGGTTTGTGTAAGCCGTATTTTTGGGCGGTTTGGTTCAAAAATTCGATGAAGTACGATCTTATGTTAATTCTTTATCTTTATTTCCTTTTCTACAGGTGAATATGAAATCCCTAAAGGAACAATGGTCATGATGAATCATTGGGCGCTTCACCACGATCCAGAGAATTGGAAAGATCCGGAAATATTCAGGCCTGAACGATTACTGGACGCCGATGGTAAATTGGCACCAAAGACCATGTCATGGTTGCCCTTTTCGGCTGGACGCAGAAATTGTTTGGGTGAAACTATTGCTAGACCAGAGATGCATTTAATGTTAGCTATTCTGTTGAGGAATTTTACGTTTAGATGTCCAGAAGGAAAGACTATAGACTTGACGCCAGATGGTTCATTGTCATTTTTACCACGAAAATCAGAAATAATCGTAGAAGGGCGGACATAAATCTGATAATTGATCTCGACAATATTGGCTTGAAACTTTATGGACCTGAAATGATTTCTTTACCAAAAATGATAAATGATATTCAGTGTTTCGCTTTAAAGCGTAGTAAAAATTAATTGGCATTTCCATTTTATGGAATATATGAACATTGTGACAATTGTTTCCTATTTGAATTTGTAAACTTTAAAGGGTCAATTCCGATAATATTTTGGAGAATAAAACTGCTTAATTTTGTGTTAAAATCACTTACAATCCTCTACCTCAGGGCTGAGCAACTAACTAGATATATGTGATAAGCTTTCAAGGAGACCGGCGTCACAAGTTGTATTATACGGTGTCTGGATAAAACTAGACTTTCATTTCATAAATTTACTGTTTAGACCTCTAAAGGAACGGGGATCGATTATCAGTTCACCAAACGAAATAATTGACCCGAAATCTTAAAAGGGTTACGTCCAAACGACTCAATATTTTGAGCTGAAAATTTGAGACAAGGTAAATACACCATTCCCCTATATTGTGGCACTTAAATTTCATACGTACTCGGACTTTTATTTTTGAGACTCTGTTAAAATCGGGATAGATCCTTTAAAATATATACCATTATACTTTATTCAAAATAAATTAAACAATAATACGTATATTGTCAATGAGTTACTCGGGTGGTATATTATTACGCATAGTATAATGAGTTACTCGGGTGGTAATTAACCCCAGGTCCACTTATCTTGTATATCTCACTGAAGACACGCTTCGGTCAACATCTAATTGTAAGACAACATGATCGTTTAGCCCCGAGCTTTGTAATGTTCTTTTAGTTTAAACTTTCTAAAGTGTATATAATTAAACCTACTGGCATATAAAATAGAACGTTATCGTTTTGCAACGTTTATGTTTTTTGTTTTTTTTTGTTTCGTTTAATTGAACTATGTAGTTTGTAGATTTGTTCATTTATATGGGGGTTGGGTGGCATTTAGTCAAGTGGCGTAGTTTCGATTCACCGCTTGTAAGTGACAAGGATTAGGGTCACCGTCTTACACACACACACACACACACGCGCACACACACACTGCTAAAACCCCAGCGTGCAAGCGAATTTTTAAAATGAAATTGAACCACATGTTAGTCCCGAAATGACCTAGTTTGTGTCGAGTGGGCGTTAAGCTCTCTCTCTCTCTCTCTCTCTCTCTCTCTCTCTCTTTTGGTTATACCATCTATATACACCAGTTACTCATATTTAGGCTTCTATATATTATAGCTGCTTACACAGATCGTATTCTATTATATTTATGCAGATATAACTAGAGATATTTCATAATTATTATGAATTATTATGTACATATTTTTAAATATTAAAATAATTCGACATTTGTATGTTATATAATTGTTTATACAGCTTATAATTAAATGTTTATAAAATATTATATTCAAGTGTCGGTTTATGTACGCTAATATTTTCGGCGAATACCCCATCAAATTCCCTAGTTTCGCATTAATTGTAAATGAAATAATTTATCATGGGAGTTATTTCCTTTTGACGGATTCTTCATAGCGTAAGCATAGTAGATGTGTTCCGTTGCCTCGCAAGAATGTGGGCGTATAACATTGTAATATGGCCTTCCGTAGTCCACGGTGGCTTCGGACGCTCAAGCGACTGTGTTTTTATCTTTATCAACTAAGAAGCTTTTGTTGAGTTTCAGACATTTATGGTCCATGATGAGTTTGAAAAAACCTTGTGGGCGCTCTAGAGCAGTGGTTCCCAAACTTCTGAGTTATCGCTCCCATGGCTGTGATGGTAGTTCTCAAAATTCCGGAAAAGAAAAATAACTGACGGAAGATAAACCTATAGCTTTCTCCGGGTTCATGGCGTTAGCAAGGCCTGTCGTTTAGGGATTAAACTCAGTTTCCAGCAAGAAATGATAAATATTTCTTTCCATAGGTTGTCAATGGGAAATTTAATTTAAGCATGCATGAATGAAATGGTGATTAATGTCCCACGTTTCTGTGCCAACCGGAATATTGAAGATGGTTATTTTAAGGAATGAAACATCTTCTCGGGATCTTTCGCTCCCTTATCCCCAGGGCTCACGCTGTCGGTCGCCAAATTCGCAATTTGCGATAAAATTACGAAAGTGGCGATTAAATTTTGTTTTTGGCGATAAAGTTTTTGGGTACTGGCGATTCTTTTTTAGAATTGGCGAAAAAAAATTCTTAAAATTCTAACCGTATTTATCCCGGATTAACCATAGCGGCATACTATAAATCAATCAACTTGCTGATAATCCCGAACGTGTCATGAGTAATACGAAACAATTGTCTGGGATTAATGGTTTCAACTGATTGTTAATTGCCGATAATAAAGCCTTTATCTTGTCTTTATTCGTCATATTAATTAATCCTAACAAATAGATTAGCGGTGACTATTTGATATTACGTGATTAAAACAAAGGGGAGTAATCAAAATGGCCGATCGTTACCGGACAACTCTTTTCAAAGAGAGTTACATGTTTTGATAGTTGAATTTTGTTTACTGTATGTGGCTTTACACGACATGTATAAATATAACAGCATGGCTAATTGGACATACTTATGTGGAAGAAGACGTTAAACACCAAGAACTACTACTACTAATTGGACATTATTATTTCAAATTATATTATCATCATGGGTCGAAAACGAAAGAGCGAGTTGAATAGCGGCGCTTCTAGGGTGAGAAAACTGTCTGCTGTTTTTTCGTTACCACCGCCGAAGTGTTCTAAAAATAACGAAGAGTCTGACGTTGGCTCCTCTAGACGAAATGAAATTGACACTACGATTAATGATTCAGATGCTGTTACCGTGACGGTACCCGAAATCAACAATAGGCCTATTGTAGGCCTACACGCGAAACGAAAATTCAAAGAAAACTGGAAATTTGGCAATCCTTGGCTGAGATTTGACGTATACGCAGAAAATATTTTGTTCAATACGTGAAAATTCGAAAGTCAGCAATAGTTTTACATCTGGGTGTAATGTTCTGAAGAAAGAAAGTATAGCGATGTTCGCCAGAACCGGATGTGACGTCACGCGAAATAACTGGTTGGCAGAATTTGGTTCCAGCCAGCGCGGATTATAGTAAAAATGGCTGACACGTGCGGTAATGTAATGTTTGGCACTTACACATCAGCGTATTTCCAGTCTTCGGCGTTAGATGCTAAACATAGATATAAAAGTAAGTTATCTTACGACTCGGAAACGAAGTTTTTGCCAGATCCATAGAGTTTGAAAGACAAATGGAGCGGAGATCCGAACACATGGCCGGACCTGACTTTTGGTGACATTTACCTCTACCTGATTGATACGCCATCATTGTACACTAAAGAATCTATGAAAGCTTATAAATCATTAGAGGCGTATAAGTAAGTTGAAATTTAAATCAAATATGAATATACTTATACTTTATCATTATCAAGGAAGACTGCAAATAGCCTATCTGCAAAAGGTAAGCTGATTTTATATGTTGATGAATTTATGTGAATGATTTTATATGAGAATATCCTTGACTCAATATCAATCCTGTTACAGATTATCCTTGACTGTATAACAATCCTATTACAGAATATCTATGACCCAATATCAATCTTGTCAGTGATGACCAAGTATTAAATATAATGTTTACTTTTCAGGTCCATCTATCTAGCCACGAAGCAGCAGTAGGTAAACCATCCCCTATAGGGTGCTTATACTGATAGCTTGAGCATGCTTGTCTGTCATACCACCCCACCCCGATGGAATCGGGCGTTCAGCCCCATGAACGAACAACGAATGTAAACCATTAAAATATTGTCCCCTTTCATTACCGCAACTGTACCACCACTCCACTGATAGGCATTGAATAACATGTATATTGTATACTGTGTAAACAGGTAACAAATCTATGGAATACAATTACTGCTTATTACTGAGCGACGTTTCGACTAGGCTTCTCTAGACATTATCAAGCTATGATAAAACATGAAAATATGACAGGACAATATATACATGTACACAACAATATTTAGTTAATGCTGACCCCTGCATAGCATCAAGAAAGTAAGATTATTACATACATGTACATATTTCCCTTCTGTTCTTCGTAGTCGAAACGTCGCTCAGTAATAAGCAGTAATTGTATTCCATAGAATTGTGACCTGTATACTCTAGTTCAATTACTAAATGCCATTGAAACAGTTTATACTGTGTAAGCTATTCAACCATGGCCGTAGGTTGAGAGATATATATAGGACTATAAATGTGTTCATAACAAACTTATACACGAACATTATCTACTAACCTTGACAGTGGTGGATCTAATTGGAATAATTTAGTTTATGTTTGTGTAGCTTTTCTATAGCCTATCATGTAAGTAAACTATTATATTGTAAACTATCTTTATCTAATGAAGATATTGTATTGAGAGGGCGTTAAACCACCACCATCATCATCATATTTTTGGACAAGTAAGAGACTCTAAGTAACTCCTCAACAACTTGACCCCTATTAAATTTACATTCTATAGGATACGATATATGAGATCTATAACATAAATAAAACAATGGTCAAAGCATCACTATATTGATATTGTGGAAATTTGATCGTTTTATCGACGAAACTGTCAAGATATACGAATGTATAAACTTCCTTTACAACACAGGCCGAGCTTCAGAAATCCTGACTAGGACGTCCTTGTCCAGCTTCCATCAATGTCGATCTCTTCTCATCTAAATTGCCATTCACATCCCAGATCTTCGTTTTTTGTAATGCATTAGATACTCTTTAGGACTCTCTGTGAGCATTTTGAAATATGAAATGTATTGTACACCAGGTAATCTAATCCGTAAGCATGTTTACCCATGGGCGGATCCAGAAATTGTTGCAGAAGGGGGTTTGCCAGGTCCCTGTTAAGGAAATTTGACCGTTGACAATGCAGAATGCCATCATCGTCTCCAAATTACGAAAGCATACATACACGCTGAGCTTTTTCAAGTCAGACATCCAACACCCCGTTTGATGCCAATTTTTATTATGAATTAATAGGATCACATGGGGGAGTGACAAGGACTTCCAATAAAGTGTTGGTTGTTTGTTTTTTTTTTAAAAAATCTATAATAATCGCTTGATCATTTTGATGTTCACTTACTTCGATTAAATAGTTCATTTTATATACTGGTTAAAAGCTTTCTGTGATTGAGCATATTAATAGAGCACAAGAGAGAGAGAGAAAGAAATGGGGTTTAACGTCCAATCGACACAAACTAGTTCATTTCGGGACTAACATATGGTTTAATTTTATTTCAATAATTCGCTTGCGCGCAGGGGTCTTTTAGCAGTGGGAGGAAACCGGAGGACCCAGAGAAAAACCACGAGGTTGGACAGGCGACCCTACTCCTTGGCACGTACAACCGGGGATTCGAAACGACGTCAGTTGACTCAATGACAGGCCGTATAATACAGCACACACGTGCTAACCATTCGGCCACCCAACCCCCCTAATAGAGCACAAGAGTTCTATGGTAGAACAATCAATGTATTTTAATCGAATCTATGTTTCTACAATGAACGTCTTGTCGTTATCAAGCACAATGCTGATCGATACACTGTATTTGAATAATGTGAGGGTCTTTAAGTATGTTTTAGCTGTTTAGAAAATATAGATGTGGTTGATTATATAAATCAATACCAATAATATATTGCTACTTTACATTCAGAAAATGGTATCTATGGACAAAAAATAAACCATGTAATTAAGATCCAGGGATAATTTTTGAAAGATATATTAAAGATTGAGGGAATAATAGGTCTAGTCCGCTGTTGACATAGCACACTTAGACATTGGAGATACACAATTTTATCCTATTTATAGATTCTAGCAAGAAACCTATCCGACCTTGACCCCAGATCGACTAGTATTTTGACAGACGTTTTACTGATAACACAGTATATACACCTGGTGGATTTAACTGGAAAAAACTTTAATGTAAGTTGGTTTATACACTGCTTATTTGCACCTCTGTCAAACTACAGTCTCATTTAAAATACGATCAGGTCACAAAATGAATATACAACACGTGTTTGCTTTGTATTGGAAATTTACACTAACTCTTTCATCATAATTCTCTATATGGTCCTTTAGTGGGTTCGTTCTGTGAAAGCATAGTCACCGCCCAATCTAGCTGTCTTTATTATCATGTTTTCTTTGTACATAGTTCACTATACCCACCCTTATGGCTTCCCACCCCTTTGATGGTTTCCAAATGATTATCTCTGATTGTATATTGATGTTTGTACGAAAAACCGCGACCCCGTGTACACATTGGCGTGCACGTAAAAGATCCCTTGGCAGTTGAAATTCGATATAAGAGTATGCCGTAGCGCCGCTGCCCGGGCAAAATTTCCCGCTTAACATACTGTATGGCGCATGTCTGTCTCCATTAGCCCAGGTTAGAAGCAGAACAGTAGGACGTTAAACCCCATTTCATTTCATTTATAGCTGATGTGTGTCAATCATCAGAAGGAGATTAACACGGCTGTATTTCATATTCCTCGGCTGCAATAAAACAAGTAATCGTATAATAATGAATACACGTGTAACATTTGTCCCTTTAGGCTATATTATATTATAACCCTGCTATTTTGTGTGTAGTAAATTGTAAAGATAAAATATTAAACAAATTAATTTTTCAGAATTCTGACAATCGGGCCAATTGATAAAAACACAAGATTCTAAAAATGTTGGAAACGTATTTGAAACAGATCCCTTTGTCTTTAACAACTCAAGCTTTGTTGCTCGGGTTAACTGTTGGTTTGGTTACATATTACACATTTGGGAAGAAAAAATATAAATTACCACCAGGACCATGGTGCCTTCCATTGGTGGGGAACATCATAGGTTAGTATATATTTTAGATATACAATTGTTCACGAATTATTGATTCGGACATTTGATGCGACCCCCCCTCCCCCCACCAGGAAATGGCGCCAAGTTTAAAAAAAATAATTTGGGTACAATTTTAAGCCTGTCACATAAATTAAAAGGCACGGACCAATCTTGAATGTCATTGTTCACGAACTATTGATTCAGGCTGTAGACTCCCCCGTCCGCTACCACGAAATGGCGCCAGGTTAAAAAAATTAATTTGGGTACAATTTTTAATTTTAACCCACTCACATAAATTGAAAGGCACAGATCAACGGTTAATGCCACTGTTCACGAACTATTGATTCAGGCTATAGACACCCCCCCCCCCCCCTCCACCTCCCCCCTCCCTTCCCCTGCCTTCCCCTGCCAGCTACCACAAAACGACGCCAAAAATTTAATTTAGGTACGATTTAAAGCAACTCACATAAATTGAAAGACACGGTCAAATGGTAAATGCAGTTGTTCACGAAATATTGATTCAGACTATAGATTGCCCAACCGAACCACTACTCCCACCCCACCTCCCGTTTGCCCCCGCTACCTCGAAATGGTGCCAAATTATAAAATATAATCTGGGTATATTATATTTAATCATTTTTTCTACAAACAAAATTATAAGTAGCTCAGAGAAATGGATGTCTTTAATTTCTGCATTGGTTCAATTTATTGTCTTTCAGCAATGAATTCCAACATACCTTTTTATAGAACATTATTGGATTTGAAAAAGAAATATGGACCAGCAGTCACAGTTTATATGGGTAATTTCCTACTTTTATGATATATTATTCAGCTGCAATATTTCTGTTTACGTAATATTTAGTTGTATATTTTTTAACACAGGGGCCAGTAACGGGGACAATCTCTTTCAAAATTACATTAAGATTTGACGAAAGTCTACCAGGTTCATATTCGACACAGAGATTACTAAATTCAGTGGGGGTGGGGGTGTTGGGGGAGACTCGTCTGAAACCAATTCTCTATCAGTAGATACAATAATTTATAAAAAGAAATGTGAGAAGCATTTCCCATCTCTGTTAGAGACATTTTGGTAGATTTTAGCAAGTTTTAGGAAGCAAGAAACCGAATAAAATGGGAACATTGAAGTTTAGACACGTATATGATCGCACACAGTTTCACGTTCCATTTCGATTTTCCAATGTTATATAGCAGGGCTTCACAGGTAAAACGAACGCATTGTTGGAGTTGGCATAACATTACAAAACTATGACAATGGCCCAAAAATGGAATTGTACGTGGTCAGTATCTAAACTTACAATTGTGGTAATGAGAGTACTTATGATGAATTCGATAAATTGGTGCTAAAACATATACATAATGGAATAAAATTTTGAATATACAGAAAGGTTTATCATTTTTAAAGGGAATAACGTTCTGTGAATTCGAAGCTACATTATAATAATACTTCCGGTTTTCGGAGTTACAATAATATTTCCAGCTTTGAGAAAACTGAGTATTCCGACACTCTGCGTAATCCGACATATTAGAGACTTTTGGCAAGCTGAATGTTTCCCATCCGTATCACGTATCCGTATTGCATACATGATAAGTTGCGTCATTGTAGTTTTAGTGTTTTGGCAGATTTTCGCTTCGCGTGCGTATCACCATCAGCAATTTTTGGTTTCACTAATGTATCATTTCAGAAGATTATACCCCTTTACCATAGAATAAAATCATTTACGGATTTGCCAGGTCCCACCTGCCTAAATTTAGCACGTAGATCAACCAGCATGCAGACAGACCGAACAGTATGAAAATTCCAAGAAAATCCATCAAATATAATGATTAAATTACGGTCTTTATCATGGTTAAAATCACATTAAATGTACACCTTCGTGTTCTAGGATACACATGGATTCATAAAAACGCCATGATACAACATTTCATCAGCTAAAAGTAGCAATGTTATACGGACCTTTTCCGTATGAAAGCTGTTCGATACGTACTGCCGTATCCGCGTGCCGTATCACGTATGAGAAATACACAAACATTGATAACGTCACACGCAAAATCCATACGGATACGCGATACAGACCAGGAATTTACGCTTGCCAAAAGTCTCTATTGTAACGATCCCGTACGATGTCGGATTTGACAGAGTTCACTGTAATTAGAAACATAGATGAATCTTGTATTATCCCAGTGAAGCTGAAATAGCCGAAATCCCATATTTCAGAGGTAGAAAGTTTGAATCAAAGATGTCGGCCCTAAATGTGATATACGAATTGAAATGAAATGAAATGGGGTTTAACGTCCTACTGTTCTGGTACGAACTGAAGACGGGCATACGCCATACAGTGTGTTATGAGAGAGATCGGGTTTAACTGGACGCAAACTAGGTTATTTTGGGATGAACATATGGCTCAATTTTATTTCAATAATTCGCTAGCATCGAGAGGAAACCGGGGGATCCGGAGAAAACCCACGAAGTTGGACAGTTGTCACGGACAAGCGGGGAATCCAAACGCCGCCACTTGACTCAATGATAGACCCCCACCCCACCCAAAATTGTTTTTAAAAATATGAAAAGATAATCATGTATTGAACACTAAAGGGGGGGGGGGGGGTAGCGTGTGCGCGTTGTATCATAAGGTCTGTCATTGAGTCAACTGGTTTCGATTCCCTGGTTGTACGCAACAAGGAGTATCATCGCCTGTCCAACCTCTTGGGTTTTCTCCGGTTTTCTCCCACTGCTAAAGACCGCTACGTGCAAGCGAATTATTGCAATGAAACTGAACCATATGTTAGTTTGTGTCGAGTAGACTAGACGTTAAACTCTCTCTCTCTCTCTCTCTCTCTCTCAACAATAAGGGTTCTATAGAAGTGTTTTATAAGAAGTGTAACAAAATAATATTAGGGTTTCACATAATAATTTGTGTTGTTATAGGACCTATTAGATGTATTATGTTGAACGATGCTGAAACTGTAAATGAAGCATTGGTAAAGAAAGGAGCAGATTATGCTGGCAGATTTCCAATTTATTCTAGTAAGGTTACCAGAAATAGAAACGGATAATTCTGATATGAAATATCTGAACGATTCTCACGATTTTTTAGGATCGAATGGATAACTTTTTTGTTATGGCAATGTTTTTGCAATCAGGGAAGACTCAGACATAGTACCCGGGGTTTCCTTCTAAAAAGTGCTCTATGGTTTCCTACTAAAAGTAGCTTTAACGTCTGAAATAAAATGAAATGGGGTTTAACGTCTTACTGTTCTGCTCCGAACTGGGCTTATGAAGACGGGCATACGCCATACAGTGTGCTTTGAAGGAAATTTTGCCCAGACAGCGGCACTATAGTCTACTCTTATATCAAATCCCAACTGTCAAGGGATCTTTTACGTGCACGCCAATGTGTACACAGTACCTCGGTTTTTCGTCCTATCCAAACGACTAGACAGCTGTCCTTGTCAGGCCCTCCGTCCTGCATCACTGACAAGGGAGAACCACGCCGGAAAATCTGGATGAACTATCTCGGCCAATGCAGGGATCGAACACCCGAACTCCAGGCTAGTGAGCCAGCGTCTTGCCCACTTAGCCACCGTGACCCCCAGCTTTGACGTCTGAAATCAGAGGCTAAACGTTCCCTCTAATAAGCAGTGCGCATGGTTATTATTCTGTCTGATTCCAACCTTTTAGAACTCATATAACAAAACATTTATCATTTACTATTATAGAATATATATTAGTATCCGACCAACATTTACAGTAAATAATTTATTCACGATTAAACTATTTCAGTTGGGGTTATTACTGACGGTTACAAAGATATTGTCTTCGCCGATGTTTCTCCAGCCTGGAAACACCTTCGTAAAATTGCTCTTCAGGGTTTGAGGTAATACATTTTATACTAAATGATAAAGTATATGGAATTTAACCTACCTAATATTTGATATCTATTGCATCCATGATTCAATAAAATAAAACCAAGTACGAACAATCAAAACCATTAGACAAAATTCGAAGTCCTAAAAAACAAAAACGGTATAGGCAAAATAGTGTAATAAGGCAAAATAGTGTAATCAGCATATGGACTGTTAATTTTATAGATTGTATATTTCAGACAATATTTATATGGTAGTAAACTAGAAGAGAAAGTATTTGAATCAACATCTAAAGTTATGAGAAGATTAAAAGAAGAAGAAGGTAAACCTATTGATATACAGAAATATGTTGGATTGTTGGTGTGTAATGTATTTCATGGTGTCTGTTTTAACAAAAGGTAAGTTGGTGTGTCGGGCAGATTATCAGAAAACATAAATGTTAGAGTTATGCCCCTTTATATTGAAACCTTAAAACACTAAGGAGCCATATCATACCTTGTGTATCAAAGCTTAGTTAATACTCCAAAAACCACCTTTTCCAAATCTACATACTATCAGAGTTGTGTCCTTTTGTAACAAACGGTTGTTGTCAATTTGCAGACGGAAATTATCATCTGATCTGTTTGTAATTTGTATAGGTTACCTGTAGTTATGTAAAATGAAGAAAGAAATGGGGTTAACGTCTGACACGACTAGGTCATTTGGGGACTAATATATGGTTCAATTTTATTTCAATAATTCGATGGCGCGCAGTGGGAGGAAACCAGAGAACCCGGAGAAAACCGATCCTACTTCTTGTTACGTACAAGCGGGGAATCGAAACAACGCCGCTTTACTCAGTGACAGACCTTTTATAACACTAGACCACCCAACCTCCACGTATCTAGAAGGACGAGGCTTATCGTGGTTATTCCCGCTTGTGAAGCTAGAATTATCATTGTATTTTTGTGATAATTTTCCATGTATGTGTTTATTTTGGTCTATACGCATGCATTGGCCCCAATTGTGAGACAAAGTAAAATTGAATATAAAAGTGGTTATATTTATTTTCTTGTTAAAGTGAAAATGTCATTTTATTTTTGTCTTATTTCAGCTTTGATATCGATGACAAGTACTTTTTAAAACTATTAGATATGTTTGAGACAACAAACAGCGAATTTGGAAATGGATTCTGGGAAGATATCATACCACCACTTCGAAAATGTCCAACCTCTAAATTCAAACGACTCACGAAAATATTCGCAAATTTTTTAGATTTCATTAGAAATGAGTTTGAGACCCACAAAGCTAATTTTTCAGAAGGTAATGCTGCACACTAAAACATGCCATTATAAAATGAAATGATACCAATCTTATGCGACGCACCTTGTGCTAGCCAGTAGCCGTAACAGTGGCATTCTGACCGTAGACACACGGGGTAACGACTCTGAGTATGCAGTAAAGAGGAGGCGTCCAATTAATGAGAAAATTATCGCCGTTAACTGCGTTGAACACACCGCCGTACATAAAATGATTAAAAATTCTTTTTCATCTTTTTTCACATTTCTAAGTAAATGCAGCTAAATAGTTGTCCCCGGACATCAACAACCTTTGCAGCTACTGTGTGAATATTTGCTAGTATATTTCCAAACATTTGCCAGCACATGTATAGGAGCTTAAAGATACATTATGCAAGAGCTAAAACTGCACATTGCATGTCCTTTCTCTCGCTTTAAATGTTATACATTGATTCACATGACAAGCTTAGATATTAAATAGATGAGAGAGAGAGAGAGAGAGAGAGAGAGAGAGAGAGAGAGAGAGAGAGGGGGGGTTAACGTCCATTCGACACAAACTAGGTATATAACTTTTACATATGGATTAAATTTAGCAAATGTTTGTAATATTTTTTAACTGCTTGATTTTTGTTATTGTTAGATTTTTAGAATTGAAACAATAATGTGATAATACGATATTATTATCTTTTTTTTTAATTATTTAGATGATATGAAAGATTTCGCGGATTATTTGATACATGCTAGAAGACAAGCCATACTGGAAGGTCCAGAAATAGAAAATATTATCACAGATGAACATCTGGTACATACATGTTCTGATATTTACTCAGGTAAGTCATTATAACAAGTCATTATAACTTTATATAACAACAATCACGTTGTTAATTCTTATAACATGTTATTTAAAAGTGTCATAAATTCCATGCATTTTAAAGCTTTAAAAGGTTTATATCTCGACAAAGAGGGGTTGGATGGCCGAATGGTTAGCAGTGCATGCTGTATCATAGGCCTGTCATTGAGTCAACTGGCGTGGTTCCAAACCCTCGTTGTGCGTGACAAGGAGTAGGGTCGCCTGTCCAACCTCTCTCTCTCTCTCTCTCTCCCTATCTCGGCAAAAGAACAACACGTTATTGCACACAATCGAATTTGAACAAGCCCAACTGGACTGATACTTTCGTTTGAACGATAGCATAATTTGGATTATAAGATCAAAGTATCGAATATCGAAACAATTACACCCGAATATCGGATATTTGAACGATTGGCATAGGGAACGAGTGATCTAACTCGTCTATTTTTAGATCATAATGTTTTTATAAGGATTGCCTGCCTAACCTTGTGGGGTTTGTCTGGGTCCTGTCACTTTCCAAATACCCTGTGCAATATTGGATATATTTAGAGATGATATATGTATAGCAGTAGGGGATACTTTTTTTGTTTAATTCTTAATTTGTAGCTGGAATTGATACAACTCGACAAACTATCATCTGGACTATTATGTTGTTAGTAGCACACCCAGAAATACAGAAAAAAGTTCAAGCTGAATTAGACCAAGTTATAGGTACGTTTGTTTCTGTTTTAAAGAAATCCATTTTTATTTAGCTGTGTTAATTAATTTCATATTACATAAGTGTATACCAAGCACCGTTAGAATAACCATTGAAGTTTGAGCGATGGAAACATATTTCTAAAAGGCCGTTGCACAAAGGCCCTTTTATAAAATGTTTTCAGAATTTTGAAGAATTGCGTTCTTAATGATGTGCTTAGTGTTTTCGCAAGTTAACGTTAATACCAGTGTCTTATAGAAATAATGTGTATACTGCTTGAATTGTTATAGTCTTGTACGGGCTAAAGCCTCCACTACCAGGCACGTGAGAAGGATACAGTTATTGTAAATGTTTTAATTATATTCGATATTAAACATATTTATTTGTGTTTAGATGCCGGACAAGCCCCCACTTTAAATGACAGAGAGAAGATGCCATATACAGAGGCTGTTTTGCATGAGAGTATGAGATTGTGTACAATAGCTCCTTTGGGATTGCCTCATGCTACCCGGTGTGACACAACTCTTGGTAAGAGCTTAACCAATGCTTGAAGAGAAATCTTTAATATGTATATCTATGTCAACGCGTGACAATTTATTTGGACAATGCCGTTTACGTCTTACTGCAATTGTGTCCAGTAGTTCCTTTGGGATTATCACATGCTACGGCGTGTAATACAACCCTGTATGGAGAGAATTTTGTAATATTTATTTCTATGGTTACACGTGACAAACAAGGTGGGAACATTTATTTTGACACTGTCGTTTTCGTCTACTCTTCTTAAAGTAGCTAAGTCTTTAACACAGTATCATCCAAAAACATGAATTATTTGTCAATTCAAATCAACATTGATGTTGTTATTTTACCGGGAAAAGGTAGGCTTCTGATATCCAATATTTAAAGACAAAATAAACATTTTACCATTGGTACACGAATCGTGTACCATAGTGCGTTTCATCGTCATTTGTAAGAAGTGACCAAAAAGAGCAAGGCTAGACATATTCAAGAAAGAGCAAGGCTAGACATATTCCATAACTCATGTCATACGGCGACGCCATAACTTATCTGGAGAGCATGCGCAATAGACTGGAATAATCAGACGCTAGAAATTTCTATTCGGTTGAGACTCATGCCGTATTTCGCTGGACATAAATGATTTGAAATCAGAGTCAAAACGGAAACAATTGAATGTAAATCATTTCATATACAATCAGATTACATTATTATATGCTCTGCTTTAAATTTCCAATGTCAATAATTCCTTAGCGAGCAAGCCATTGAACATACATGTACAGAAGGGACTCGGTGTTCTTCCGCTGTGAACGATTAGATAACTCAGTAAGTAAACTAATTGTATTAAAAAACCCATTGAACTTCGTTGAAGTTTAGGGGGTTGGATGGCTGAATGGTTAGCATGCGCGCGCTGTATCATAAAGTCTGTCATTGAGTCGACTGGCGTGGTTTCGAATCCCCGGTTGTACGTGGCAAGGAGTAGGGTCGCCTGTCCAACCTCGTGGGTTTTCTCCGGGTCCTCCGGTTTCCTCCCACTGCTAAAGACCCCTACGCGCAAGCGAATTATGTAAATAGAATTAAACCATATGTTAGTCCCGAAATGACCTAGTTTGTGTCGAGTGGACGTTAAACCCCATTTCTCTCTCTCTCTCTCTCGTTGAAGTTTGATATGGATGTATTTATGTTTATCCGTGCAGTATAAATGTCCATCCGGGTAATTCTTAAAATAATAACTATATTTTAAACATGCAAATATTGATATTATTCCCCCGCCCCGAGTTCGTGTTTAAAACACAAGAATATCAAATGTAGTCATGTTTTTTTATTTTGTTTACTATGGCATACCATGTCTTAACTCGCATTTTACCATAATATACGACCTCTTGACGTTTATAACTCTCATTGTACCATGATATACGACTTATTTGACGTTTTAAATTCAGAATAGGATTATATTCTAACCCTGTTATACGTCTCCGTAACGTTTACAACTCGAGTTTTACCATGATAATACGACCTATTAATGTTAATAACTCGATATAGAATATGTTTAGCATGATATACGCCCTATATAACTCGATATAGAATACGACCGTTTACATCTCGATATAGGAAATGTTTACCATGATATACGACCATCATCGCTTACATCTCGATACTAGATATATGTTTACCGTGCTTAACGTTTATAACTCGCATTTTACGATGATAAAGGACTTTGTAACGTGATAAACTCGCATTTATAACTCACTTTTATAACTCACTTTGCATCATGATATTAAGACCTAATTTTAACAACTCGGTATAGAATATGTTTAACATGATATACGCCCTATTAACGTCCATAACTCGACATCGAATGTGTTTTGTTTACCATACATAGGGTATGTTTACCATGGTATATGGCCATTATCGCTTACCTTTTGATATCTGATATATGTTTACCATGGTAAACGACCTTTTACCGTTTATATCTCTTTATAGGACATATTGATACACAACCTCCTAACGATTAAAAGTCAATATATAGCCTAATTATATGTTTTTCGATTTTAAGCAAATTTCAGAATAACTGAATTTTTTTGAGATAAGGATCTTACAGTAATTCAGCCAATATAAAGCATTATTACATGTATTTCTACAGGTGAAGATGAAATCCCTAAAGGAACAATGGTTATGGTAAATCACTGGGCACTTCACAACGACCCGGAGCATTGGAAAGATCCCGAAATATTCAGGCCGGAACGCTTACTGGACGCTGATGGTAAATTGGCACCAAAGACCATGTCATGGTTGCCCTTTTCTGCTGGACGTAGAAATTGTTTGGGTGAAACTATTGCTAGACCCGAGATGCATTTGATGTTAGCTATTCTGTTGAGGAATTTTACGTTCCGATCCCCAGAAGGAAAGACCATTGACTTGACACCAGAGGGTTCCTTGGTGTTTTTACCACGAAAATCAGAAATGATCGCAGAAGAGAGAAAATAAACCATCTCCGGAGTCTTTATGTGTCTGAATAGATTTCTTCACTTTTATTCTGTTCTTCGCTTATGTATAATTTCATAAAATATAGAAATATTGTGACCATTAAATCATAGCTTAATTATTATATTTTGAAATAGTTTGATACCAATTAGTCTCTATCATCCAGACTAACTGTAGTAGATTTGATTAATCCACTATGGTGGTTTTCGTGGACTATGATATGTAACATTATTGTTTTGCATCATGTTTGATATGTTTATACATAATAATATATACTACTGATACAGCTGTAGATGTGCGCGCTGCGCAGTATCATACAGTCTGTCATTGAGTCAACTGGCGGGGTTTCGATTCACCGGTTGTACGTGACAGGAATAGGGTCGCCTGTCCAACCTCCTGGGTTTTCTCCGGGTCCTCCGGTTTCCTCCCACTGCTAAAGACCCCTATGCGCAAGCGAATTATTATTGAAATAAAATTAAACCATGTGTTTGTCCCGAAATGACCTAGTTTGTGTCGAGTGGACGTGAAACCCCATTTCTCTCTCTCTCTCTCTCTCTGGGAGCCACGGTGGCTAGGTGGGTAAGGCGCTGGCTCGCTAGCCTGGAGGTCGGGTGTTCGATCCCTGCATTGGCCGAGAAAGTTCATCCCGATTTTCCGACATGGTTTCCCCTTGTCAGTGATGCAGGACGGAGGGCCTGACAAGGACAGCTGTCTAGTCCTTCGGATGAGACGAAAAAGCGAGGTCCCGTGTAAACATAGGAATGCACGTAAAAGATCCCTTGGCAGTTGGAATTAGATATAAGAGTAGGCGATAGTGCCGCTGCCCGGGCAAAATTTCCCTCATAGCACACTGCAGTATGGCGTATGCCCGTTTTCATTAGCCCAGTATAGGAGCAGAACAGTAGGAGTTAAACCCCATTTCATTTCATTTCTCTCTCTCTCTCTCTCAGCTGTAGATATTTCACTACTATGGGGACCAGAAGTATATATTTCATATTTCGACACCTCTTTCTTATATTAATTAAATTTGTTCAGCTTATAATTAATTGTTAATCAACATTAAACATTGAATGTTAATAATCGAGTTAATATCCAACGGTTGTATGTTCTATTAAATAGAGTTTAAGCTGGCAATTAGTTCGTTATAAAATATTGAAGTGTAATTTTTGTATGCTAAACTTGTATATTGTGATCAGCCCTATCCGTACACCGGTCTGATCGCATTTCTCTTCGGATACAAGAAGGAATCCATTGCATTGATTTACCGTTAAGTTCTCTCAGGCAACGTTGTAATCATTTTTTATCTCAGAGTAGGGAGGTGGTGGGGTTATAGAAATTATTGCATCCATCGATTCTAACATCAGATTTTAAATCTGATAATCAGGTTGGGTGTCATAGTAAGAAACACAGCACATTGTCAATAGAGAATGTACAGATGAGAGCGGCCATCACGTCCCAGGATTATCAAACCCACGCTATCAGGAAAGATAAAAACAACTCAAACTACCAACGCAACTGGAGAGTTCTCCCCAACTGAGGCAAGGCAATACCTCCCTCACACAAGGTAGACGACATCGCTAAGCGGAAATGGAACTCCACAAACGGCCATATCCTCTCCCCCAAAATGCTTGATCTCCTCCTCTACTGATAGATCTCACCAACTGGTCTGATCTCCCCAACTGGCCTTATCTCCCCACTGGCCGGATCTCCCAAACTGACTCGATCTCCTCCTCCCAATAGCCCAGTCTCCTCCTGAACTGGCCTGTTCTCCCCAACTGACGCAATATACACGCAAACTGAGTTACATGTAATCTCCCAAATGGTCAGACCGTCACCTCACCAGTGAAATATATACCAGAACTCAATTAGTGACATGGTCTCGCCAATGACCTGATCTCCTTCCCAAGTTCTCCTCCTCAACTGGCCTGAACTCCTTCCCAACTGGCCTGAACTCGTTCTCAACTGACAGATCACTCAAACGGGCAAAAATTAACAACGCTATCATGTGTATGCCTATTAACTAGAAAAGACTGATAGAGGGGGAGAAATTGGGTTTAACGTCCACTCGACACAAACTAGGTCATTTGGGGACTAACACATGGTTCAATTTTATTTCAATAATTTGCATGCGCGTATGGGTCTTTGGTAGTGAGAGGAAACCGAAGAAAACCAACAAAGTTTGACAGACGACCCTATTCCTTTTCACATATAAGCAGGGAATCGAAACCACACCACTTGACTCAATGACAGATCACCCAAGTTGATAATTTGCCCAGGTTATGGAGATCCATCAAAGGTTATTAGTTTTACTACTACATTGACAACAAGGGAAAATAACTTTAAATTATTTTTACTTTCAAATGGAATTTCATTTCATTTTTTTTTCTCCAAAAATCGTAGGAATAATATTACTTTTAGAATTCCAAATTGCTCTAGATTAAATTAAGCCATTTTTACGAATATAGTATACAAAGCATAAAAGTATAAATCTGATTAAAAGCTTTTAACTATGCTGTATAAATATAGTTTTAAAAATATAATATTTACACATAAATTCATTAACAACAAAAATTGGAAAAATAGAGAAAAACATAACAATTCAACTCTGTATAAAATACTTTGTCAAAATAAATCAGGATTCAAAACAAAAATTACATTATGCTCAAATCATTAGTAAGTTAGAGGTTTCGTTCCTCAATGCTTGGTAATAGTGTTATACCAAGGGTATCATCAATAGTCAATCAAATATCAGAAGATTAAAGGGATCATCCCAGATATATTGTAGTGAATATAACACTGGTTTATACCAAGGATTTCACTTCAAACTTCTACCAGACAGCCAGTTGAATTCCTTATAGGAGTTACATAACCCTGTTAATACAATCTAGCAGACAAGTTATTTGGAATATTCCTATATTTTCTATTTGTTAGGCATATACAAATAGAAAGAGAGAGGGGGATTTACATAGGCTAAGCCAGTTCCCAAATATCCTGAATAAAAATATTGTTTCTACAAAAAAGCCAAAAACAAAATCAACAGATACTCTGAGAAATGTGTCAAAGTTTTACTCTTTTTAGAATTAATAGTTTAATCTTAACACATACATAAGTCACCATTCACACCAGATAATGGCATCATTTGTTATTCACCCATGATCATTGTATGGTCATGTCGGGTACTATGTTTAACAATATCACATAATGTAACTACTCAGTACTTTATCTTATATATGCCCATTCAACTTAATGTACAGGTCACAATTCTATGGAATACAATTACTGCTTGATAATGACTAGAGAACCCTAGTCAAACCTCTCTCAGTAAAAAGCAGTAATTGTATTCCATAGAATTGTGACCTGTATACTCTAGTTCAATTACTAAATGCCATTGATACAGTTTAAATGTATGTAATAATTTCTTGTTTTACAGTATTTAACAGCTTAAATTGTATTTAGGGTTTTAACCAGGATTCTTAATTATCGCATTCATTATGACAGTCCTGATCCCTGACTGAATGGCAGTGAATTTGACTGACTGGAGAATGTATCTCTCAATTAATTTACATGACATATAATAAGAATTTAACCATTTTAAAAACAAAAAATATAGGTTAAAGATGCATTATGTAAGAGCTAAATCTGCCTAATGCAGATCTTTGCTCATGAACTCAAATATTATATAAATCATTAATTAGACATTTATTCACATATCAAGGTCATAATCAACTCTCTAGACCATCGGATGATTTGATTCTCAACGGATTTAAATAAGAATGTCAGCTAATAATTTAATAAAAAATGGACAATCGTATCTTTGTTTATTATCTTTAAAGGTAGCAATGACAATCGAGACTACACTTTTCTTCAAACGATTCCTTTTTCATTATCTATTTTTTAACTATTACAGCGAAAACTGTCAGCTCTTTATCTAATCTCACATAATGCATCTTTAAACTATGTTTAAATTGGGATAATGCTAAAACTGGTCATATTATTTGGATAATAAATATCTTGCTAATCCAAGGTATACAAAATACATCAAAAATAGACTGGCCAACAAATTATGTAATATTCTATTTCTAGTTAGCTTTTTATTACCCTGATAAAAGTTGCAATGTATAACTATTACTTGAAATATATCGAAAAGAAAGTCACTCCATGAACTTATAGCTAGTTACACACTTGCTAAAAATCTATGACAATTATATATATATAATCGTCCTTGAATGACATTTAGAAGTAGAGATATAATATTCATAATAACACAACTTTATGGATTTACTACTTGGTTTATTACATGCAACGTTCCAATGCTCTTACAGGTATCTTGATAAATAAAGTTGTTATTATTATTATGAAAATTATATAATCATCTTTAAAATATTAAACAATTGTTGATATCTGTAATCTTATATCTACTCTGTTAAAATAATAATTCTACACAGATATATACCGGTATGACAAACTATAAATAGGTAATGATGATGCTAGCTTCACTTTCCGATCTCTCTATTCTAGAATCTGTCTCAGGAGACGACAAGGGGGAGTTGTTTTCCCTTGGTTGACATTTTGGACGACGTAAAAGGAGGGTAGGTGAGGAATTTGCAGAATTTTCTTCACTAGAAGAATCAAAGACTCCTGGTTGACTGCCTTCTTCTAAACTGCAGTCAGGACTACTTATTATTCCATTCTCCGATAATTCGAGAACTCCGATATCGTTGATACTTGTGATAGAGTTTGAATTTACATTTGTTTCATATCGATATGGATTATACTGTTTTTGTTTATTCACAACACTATATATGGGTTCCTCTACAGCTTTAGTAACCTGTTCTTCTGTGTTCAGAGGATGTGGACTTTCTGTAACCGGATCAAGTTCAGTGTGAGTTATTAAACTTGGACTCTGTTTTTGAACACGAGCATAAATTTCTTCTAAATTTTCATCATATTCACCAAATATTTCGTTTTCTTCCGATGTTTTATCTTGTTGGGATTTTGGATTGTTTACCATTCTGACTGGTCGAGGGTTATGAACCAGGACTTCGATACTACGAGCAGAGTTTCTTTGTGGCAGTCTGAAAACTTCTCTGGCTGAAGCATGCATTGGGTCAGACTGGGTTGAATCGATACTGGTGCTGCTAGAATTCTGAGCACGGGCCAATTGCATTTGATGAAACAAAATGGCATCCCGATCAATATTCTGATGAATAACAGGTTGTTTTGAAAATTCCTCAAATGAAGCAATAGTATCCAGAGATTCTGATCTTTCATAAGGAATGTTTGTGTCAGGTTTAGGAATTGTTACTTTTCGATCTAAGATGGCTCCTTCTGATTTACCTCTGGACATGTTCTGTTGTTGAGAAGTTGTTGACCAGTTCCTTGCATCCCTACTACCATTATGTGCGACTTCAGCATCAACATCATTGTCATGACTGCTAAACATGTATTCCATTTCGCGATCTTTAACTTCCTCCGTTAGACGTTTTTGTAAGTGTCTCTCCCAAGTTGAAACCGGGATATTCTGATTTCGAGACTTTAACAAGATATCCTCATCATCGAATGTCAGATCAGATAAGGATTCGTCTCCAGAGTCAGCATTAGTGAAGTCATATCTGATTTCTTTGTCCTTAACATCATTTGTCAGACGTTGCTGTAAAGCAGCTTCTAGTTTCTTGATATCACGATTTCTGTTTAAGTCTTCCGCTAAAACATCCGCACTAACAGCTGGCCTATGTTTATCATTTCCTTTTCTTTTCACATGTCCCGATTTATCGAATTTAATTTTGCCGAACTGAGCTTCTGATTTTTGTTGTTCCTTGGCACGAACCATTGCAGCATGTTGCTGCAACATTACTAACAAATGTCTCTGACCTTCATATTGTGTCTCGAGTAATGTTTTAATTCTAAGTCTTTCTGTTTCCGACAACAGGAATCGCACCACTAAAATAGCAATATTTTCTTTGGATCCATAGCCTTGTGCCAAATCTTGAAGTCTCTTGGCAGCTACAACTGGATCTGGAATATCAAGGATTTCTTGAATGGCTTCTTCGTAAGACATATATTTCCACAGACCTTGATTAGCTATGATGATGAGTTGATCGTCTTCTGTAAGTTGTGTGGTGGTGATGTGAGGATCTGGTATAAGATTAGGGTATAAATAACTACAACCTAATAATCTGGTATTAAATGTAACTCCACTCACTCGACCATCCTGTAAATATACAAGAATTTATATAAATAACATTACAGTAATTTATATTTTCTGATAATGAGTGTATATTGTCTTCTAAAAATATTAATTGATGGATAATGGACAGTCTGAGGCTATTATCAAACTTAAAACATAGCACCATAGAGACACAAATATTGGATAGTTTTCTAAACCAACAAGCTATAAAACTATAGATATATTCTTAAAACAACATGCTCATGCTCATGAATGCATGTGACAAAACACTCCAGTCATACAATGCAAGCATACACAGACAGTCCAAAATATTAGACATGGAGACGACATGTTTAATTATAACACAGTCGAAAACAAATATTAATGGTGTAACGGTGATATATTTGAACGTTTTTTTAAAATCGGATAAAAATTGTGACTTGTATAGGTTCCACAGGCTCAAAACACGTTTTGTTCAATCAGGGGCCATAATCCAGGAAGTTACAGTCCGATATGCGCCAAGTTTTGTAAATAGATGATTGTTTAAGAAAAGCGTATATTCTCCTATATACTGGTTAAAAGCATCAAAGGGTGACGTCATATCTATGTTTTAAGTGTAGTTTAATTGTCGACTGCAGACATTAAGTAATATATTGATATTGCATGAGTACTATATCTATATATTACGTAATGTCTTGCACGAGACCATTAAACAACTTAAAATACAGACACTATCCAGCACGTGCATTGCAATGAAATACGTCACGCGGGTCCAATATTGCAACTGGTATAAATAATGTACGCTTGGCACATTGCCCGTACCATTATTTGAAATGATGGTACGCCAACATCAAAGGATGAAATCACATCTGTGTTTTAACTAGAAATAATGGTCTATCATTCTATCCAGTGAAACAATTTTTGTTTACCTCTGTGATAATTCCATCTGATTGACAGATTCTCTGGCATTCTCCAGGATTCTGAGAAACTGTGAAGAGCTGTGAAAGACAGACAGGTTTATTTTTACGACACAAGACCACCTCGGTATCACCAACATTAGCTAGATGTAAAGTGGGTGGAGTCTTTCCAGGTGACTTCCTTATATGGACAACACCTACTGCAGCTCCAAGTCTTTGTCCAAGGGATTTTAACTTTCTGTAAATATAAATGAATTATTTAGTAATCATGTTGACTGTGTAGAATATTTACACATACATTATGCAAGAGCTAAATCTGCCTATTGCAGGTCTTTCTTTAGGCCTGAAATGTTATATAAACTATTAATTAGACATTAATTAAATTATCCAGATAATTATCAACTCTAGATGGCATCGGATACTCTTCAACTAGTTTAGAAGGTTCACTATTTAAAAATTTAATCTTAAAATGGGAAAGTGAGGCCAAGTCTCGAATATACCAGTGCCCTGGATACCACTATGCATACATCTTGTCAAAACTACAAACAGTGATAACCTGGCTCAGAATGAAGTAATTTGAATGAAATTTTTATTTTACATTATCTATTTTCAAACTATTAAAGGAAGACGGGTCAGCTCTTTATCGAAATGTTACATAATGTATCTTTAATATAATTGTAGGCGTATTAGATTTTCCTGTTTTTAAATTTTAGTCTACCCCCTGTATCTCAAAATATATTCTGATTCTCTTAGATACCGTTGTATCACTTTTATTTAAAAATAAAATAAAAAATAAAAACATTCTCAATAACCATGGTAGGTTCACTGATATAATGGAGAGTAAGAGTATAAAACGGGTCTGATAACCTAAAGTGTACTGTTGAGAGGGCTAGAACTATTTCTTAAGGCTAACTCAAGATTTCGTCATGGTCAATGAGATGTAAATAAGGTTAGGGCACTTGATTGTTGGCGAGATTGTAGGTTAGTGTTAGGTTAAGCGTCAGGGCTAGGTCCAGGGTTAGGGTAAGGGTTGGGCTTAGCACTAGCCCTGTTTACGAAATGAAATGAAATGAAATGAAATGGAGTTTAACATCCTATTGTTCTGCTCCGAACTGGGCTAATGAAGATATGCATATGCCATACAGTGTGCTATGAGGGAAATTTTGCCCGGACAGCGGCACTACGGCCTACTCTTATATCAAATTCCAACTGACAAGGGATCTTTTACGTACACGCCAATGTGTACACAGCACCTCGTTTTTTTGTTCCATCCGAATGACTAGACAGCTGTCCTTGTCAGGCCCTCTGTCCTGCATCACTGACAAGGGGGTACCACGAAGCCCGGTTTACATTCGTGATCTTTGACGAAACTTGAAGTTGGCCTTATGAAATAGTTCTAACCTTGTTGAGAGATAGTACAAGTTAACCTACCCATGAGCCGCTAACATGGAGTATTTTAAATAATGTTCATGTTGACCTCTCTTCTTAAGTTCATCTTCAACGACTAATGGAAGGCGATCAGATAATGTTTTAGCGATTTCTTCGTTCCTACCACAATCCAGTACTCCAAACAGTGAATCATCTTGGTCTATAAATTGAGTCTGGTTAATCACGGCTACGGATAATCTAAAATATGCAAGGGCTGAGTCTTACAAAATGAAATGAAATTGAGTTTTTACATCCTACTGTTCTGCTCCAACTGGGATAATAAGATGGTGCTATGCCATACAATGTGCTGTGAGGAATATGAGTGGCACTACAAATTTACAGTAATTCCCTCTCTCTCTCCCGCTACCCCCTTTGTATGGCCATTTTTGTTGATTTTTTTTGGGTCCAGAATAGATTAAGAGGGTGTGAATTAAGATTTTCTGCCAGGTTTTGGTAAATATGTGTAGGGTACTAGAGTTAAGGGATTGGTTACTGTGATATGTAAGGCAGATAGTAGCATGTTTTTAGAATGCTACTTTTAAGTTCATGGCTCTCTAAATTTCACTGGTCAACCTCATACAAAATCTGAAGTAAAGACATGACCATGTGTTGCTCTATCTGTAGTGAACAGCATTCAGCCCAACGAAAATTTTGGGGAAAGATGGAGCTGGGCAAAGAGACCAGAATTAACATTGAAATCAATGGGAGAATAAGGAGTGGTCTGCATCCAAATAGAAACATTGAATGAAATTTCAGAGCTTTTAGTGTGTGAATGTTTTGATCAATGTCCAATTCTAGGTTCCTTTTATTTATTGACCCAGGAACGGAATTTCAACTATTAAACTTTTAAAACAAACCTCACTTTCAGGTTTTCAAAATAATTTGGCAATTTGTCACAAGTGATATTATTATCCCCTCTTTGGTCTGTCGAGAGAAATAATTGGAATGTCAAAGATCCATACCTGTTTCTTATGCCAGATGTTTGAGAAAAACCACTCTGCCATATTTTATCAACAGTAGATTTATCTATAGATGAAATATCTAATAAAGATCTATTCTGTCCTCTCATATCTACCATACAAATCTTCTTAGCTCTACAATTAATACAAAATACAAATATATGGATTTAAACTTAGTTGGACAATGACACAACTTTGAATTGAAATTATATTCAACAATATATCTTCTTCAGCAGTAAAAAGCAAAAAATAAGAACATTTTACTACAATGTAAGTTAAAATAATTTCAAGATTGAAGCCACTGATCTTTTTTTGCATTTCTCAGACAATATCTAATATTTCACAGCTTAATTGATTAATTGATAATGAATTAAGAAAAAACAACTAAAATTAATATCAACGATAGATAATCGACAGATTTTAGATTCAATCAGGTTACAAAGAGATTAAAAGAGAGTTTAACCTCCACTCGACACAAACCAGACCATTTCGGGACATATGGTTCAATTTTATTTCAATAATTCACATGTGCGTAGGGGTCTTTAGCAGTGGAAGGAGACCTGAGGAACCAGAGAAAACCCACAAGGTTTTTACAGACAACCGGGGAATCAAAACCATGTCAGTTGACTCAATGACAGACCGTATGATAAAACGCACACACGCTAACCATTCGGCCATCCAACTTCCTCAATCAGATTACAAATAGGCCCATCAAAAGATTTTTACAGAACACAGACAGCGCTGGATTATATATTTCTTAGTAAGTACTGAACGATACTTAACCAATTTGGACTTTAAACTATATTGTAATTTATAATGGATACAAAGTCGCCTAATTGATCATTAGTGACTTTAAAGTGCTGGGATATTTTCAATTTTGAAATTTACTCCGAATGAGATTTATGATTTTTGAAAAGATAATTGATTTTGAACTTACTTGGCCATTTCTTGAGAACTGACGGTAATATCAGGATTACCAGAAATATCTAACAGATTCACCTGAGAGTTCATCAAATTCTTCATGTTTACATTCACTAAACGATTAGACCCAACTTCTAACACCTGATAAAAATATAATAAAAACATTAATTACTAAACGATTAGATCCAACTTCTAACACCTGATAAAAATATAATAAACGATTAGATCCAACTTCTAAGGGTGGTACGATTTACCCAATACTACCCAATACTACCCAATACCACCCAATACCAGCCCAATACCACCTCAATATCACCACATACTACCCAATACTACAACATAATGATGCAAAATAGACATATCGTTTGATTGTTTTCAAAAATAGAAAGTTATATCACAGGAAATGTACTTCAAATGCGATACCGATATCTGGCTGTTCCATTTGCCTCCCTCTACCACTCCAAAAAAGCCAATAATAACCCAACACTACCAAATACTCATCAAATACTACCCAATATGATCAAATAACAACCTAATATTGTCAAATAACGGCACATTAGTATAATTACTGCAACGAATATTCGATATTTTGCAGAAAATTGAAATTTTTACACAGTTATCTCCCTTTACAACCGGTAAATAGATTTTAGATTGCTGCACTGATTAATCATTTTCTTTGCCTTTGCAATTAGTTTCGATGACGACAAACTTAAAATAAGAAAAACGAGTATGAAGATATACCATATTTTATTCCCAAAATGACCCATCTGTCTCTTACCACTTGATAGGGTCGTCTGTCAAACAAGATGGGTTTTCTCGGGTCCCCCGGTTTCATCTCACTGTTAAACATCCCTTCCCGCAAGCGAGTTAATGAAATAATATTGAAATATATGTTAGTCCCGAAATTACCTAGTTAGTATCGATTGTTTGTATCTATTTTAAAATTAAAGCTCTAACAAAACAATTGCATAATGTTTATATTCATTTTTTTCATGTCAACTATTAAGTTATTGCGTATTTACTGACTGTACGATGTTGTATTTTAAAATTAACGAAATTGCACATGTTTCTTTCCAGTGAGTAATTCTCGACGCGACACATCTCAGTTCATCAAAACTATCATTTGCGGCCTGTTACAGCTCTGTCAGTTTCTTTGATAATATAAATAAAACAGAATTTGATTACCCAATCAACAATCTTAACCCCGTCGATTAATTGTTAAGTCAGGTTGAATGTATATAGTGTAGAGTATTACACATTGTGGGAGGAAACTGGAGACCGTGTCTATTCATTTAGGTGATAATGACATCGCCGCGACATCGTCACCTGTGGGTATATACCGTAGAATACTTAGAATTTGTTCAATAGTGACAATATTCGAAGAATCGCTTGGTATGGAACCGGAATCATTTCAAAGACAAAGAAGACGAGACAGATATAAAGATAAATTTGTTTGCTTTCCTGACATATTATACCAAAATGATTTTTTACAGGACCGAGTGCACTTGTAGACAGCGTGTTATATTACTAAAATCACCAGGATGAAGAAATAATTATAGTACAAGAAGACTTTTGAATAGATCATGAGACCGTTAAATGAACAGTTTTAAATCAACCTCTAAAATACTCTTTTATTTGGATGTTTAGCTGTTTATTTTATAACACTATAGCGGAGGCATCTATAATAACCTGTTTTCCTTATTTTAACTTCGTCGTCTAGGAAACAAACTGCAAAGCCCAACAAGATGATTAATTTGAGTAGCAATCTAAATTCTATTTGTCAGTTGTAAAGGGAGATAACTGCGTAAATATTTCAATTTTCTGTAAATTATCGAATATTCGTTGCAGTAATTATAATAATGTGCTGTTATTTGACAATATTAGGTTGTTATTTGATCATATTGCGTAGTATTTGGTAGTATTTGATGACTATTTGGTAGTATTGGGTTATTATTGGTTTTTTGGGGGGTGGTAGAGGGAGGCAAATGGAACAGCCAGATATCGGTATCGCATTTGAAGTACATTTCACGCGATATAACTCTCTATTTTTGAAAAAAATCAAACGATATTTCTATTTTGCATCATTATGTTGTAGTATTGGGTAGTATGTGGTGATATTGAGGTGGTATTGTGGTGGTATTGGGGTGGTATTGGGTAGTATTGGGTAGTATTGGGTAAATCGTCCCGCCGACTTCTAACACCTGAAATATTTTAAATATAAATAACATATTAAATAAAAATGCATTATGCAAGAGCTAAATCTGCCTATTACAGATCTTTCTTTAGGTCAGAAATGTTATATAAACTATTAATTACACATTTATAAACATGAAAAGACCTTAATCAACTCCTGATGCCATCTTATCTGCCCGATTTTCATTGGATTTCAATATGATCTGCTTTTTCAATGTCTGTTGATGATTAAATGCAAAAATGGATAATCAAGACTTTGTCATTTATTGTGATAGCGCTAAAAATGACAATCGAGGCTACACGATTTTAAAATAATGTGAAGAAGTTTGACAGAAATTTTCAGTATTCTCCCTTTTACATTATATAATTTTTAATCTAAATCTTCCATAATGTATCTTTAAATATAGATACATTATAGCAAAAGACATAATACCTCAAAAAACTTATTTTCATCTGGAAGTATGACGTTGGGACTTATTCAAAAGAACTTAAACTAAAATATCTGACAAGTTATAAATCCATTGAGCTCAGAAATGATGGCATATTATTAGAATCAATACTGACATGAGCTTGACGCATACAATCGATCTAAAAGACATTTCTTCTAAATTATTTATTGTATTATATATGGTCTTATATGTTACCTTTATTCCAGAAGAATTTTTAAAGTTAGGAATCTCTTGTAGTAGATTTGAGTTGACCCGCAGCACTTGTAACTTAGGATGTCGTCCCAGATATTCTGGTAGTTCATGGAGGTTGTTGGAAGAAATGTTTAATTCTTGAAGTAGTTCTAGTTTTTCCATGTCGCTGAAAAATAAAATATAAATTGTCAAAACAACTTTTGAACCCAAATTAATTTTGAGACAGATTTAAATAGCAATAAAATATCAAAGTGCAAAAGTGATTAGTTAGCGATATGAACTTCACAAATAGAAAGTGGTATCAGTCCTTCAAAAAGAGTAAGCAAACTTTTTGATACATGTAGGAGTTGAATAAAGTGTTCTAGAAATACTAAGCAGACTCTGCCTCATGCATGACACTCTTCACTAAATGAGAAGTTGTAGCAGGTGCTCTTGAAAGAGTAAACATATTCTGCCTCAAGCACAAAATACAACTAAATGAGACGTGACATTGGTTGTTAAATAAAAAAGTAAGCATACACTGCCTTGTGCTTGACAACTATCACTATTTAATGCTAATTATAAATAGATCCAATATGATATACATTATACTTTTTTACACTGATATAAGCAGGTTTATACAATAACAGAAAGAGAAAGATGGTGTTTATCCCCCACTCAACATTAACCATGCCACACTAAAGCAGGTTTTATTTCAATAATTCACTTCCACAAAGTTGTCTAAAGAAGTTGGAGGGAAACCAAACTACCTGGTCACTGACATTAAACCTTGTGAAGCTAAGGCATGGAATCAAACCAAATGAAAATAAGATTTTGCTGAAATGAAATGAAATGAAATGGGGTTTAACGTCCCACTGTTCTGCTCCGAACTGAGCTAATGAAGACGGGCATACGCCATACAGTGTGCTATGAGGGAAATTTTGCCCGGGCAGCGGCACTATCGCCTACTCTTATATCGAATTCCAACTGCCAAGAGATGTTTTATGTGCATGCCATTGTGTACACAGGACCTCGATTGACCCCCAGATTTTGCTGAATATTAAAAACAATAAATTGAAATAATGCAATGCTCACCTGTTCTTTAACTGTGTTATCCTGTTGTTGGCTAAATGTAGAACTCGAAGGCGACCAAAGAAACTTATTTTATGAGCTGCCTGATTTCCCAAACTGTTGGCAGTTAGAAATAATTCCTGCAGTTTATTCAAAGATTCATTTCTGTTAGGAGCTGGTAAGTCTGTTAATTTGTTCTTTGTAGCATTTAAATATCTTAATCTGAAAGATAAAATCAAAAATATTTACATTTCTCATGAACATGAACTAGATCCATGAAGTATAAACCACATTACTAATATTGTTAAAGGGCGCATGGCTCTTAAAATGGGGTCTAAATAGGTCTAAAAGCACATATTAATGTAATATGAATGTATATAAAGTGATTTCTATTCAATATTTATCAATTTCTATTCAATTATGTGAACTGTCCAAACTGACCGGCAGTCGTTTATGTCTGCTTAGTACATTCTACACATTTTTTAAATTATCATTTTGTTCTTTTGTAAATAATCAGCCATTACTAATTACTTCAGTATTGTCCTCTAGAATATTTTTCATTACAAATGATGCCTAAAACCATAGAGTACATGACTAATTAATGTACTACCGGTAATTTTAAAATGTTCATAGTGTCTTAAATATTGAACAGGATCCTATTTTTTTCGCGGCAAGATAACAACATCGATATCGATGGACCAACATTGTAATTTCCTATAGTATGGAAGAATATTTAGGAAAATACTGAGTTAGAGGTTTAGCTCCTTTAACACATGGTTTTAAATCCCATGTTCAAGAACAATAATAAGTGAAGGGGAACCACACCACACACAAAAACAAACTAAAACTAGTAAAAACCAATGTACAGGAAGGCAATACAGATACATTATGAAGTAAACAGGATATACCAATTGGGCATACGATAGGAGAGAGAGAGAAATGGGGTTTAACGTCCACTTGACACAAACTAGGTCATTTCGGGACTAACATATGGTTTAATTTTATTTCAATAATTTGCTTACGAGTAGGGGTCTTTAGCAGTGGAAGGAAACCAGAGGACCCAACTCCTTGTCAGGTACAACTGGGGAATGGAAACCATGCCAGTTAACTCAATGACAGACCTTATGATGCAGTGCACGTGCTAACCATTCGTCCATCCAACCCTTGCAGTGGAAGGAAACCAGAGGACCCAACTCCTTGTCAGGTACAACTGGGGAATGGAAACCATGCCAGTTAACTCAATGACAGACCTTATGATGCAGTGCACGTGCTAACCATTCGTCCATCCAACCCTTGCCAACTAGTAAAAACAAACATACAGGAAGGCAATACATGATACCCCTTATCACATATATATATATATATACAATCCTTGAATCAGTGACATTATGAACTGAAGTGCATGAGATAGACTGGTTGGGCATACTTCGATAAGATGAACTAGAGATGGCCACCCACAGTATACCATCTTAATCGGAGCCACAATTACATCCCAACAGCACATATGACACAAACTTCAATTAATTTGTAAATTATTGTTATTAATTTAAGCCCAATACTTTATATGGTCATGTAGGAAGTTTCAAATTTGTACAATATCAACAAGAAAATGAAATGAAATGGGTTTTAGCGTCCTACTGGGGCTACTGAAGACAGGCATATGCCATACTGAGTGCTATGAGGGAACTTTTGCCCAAACAGACCTATGACATACCCTTATATCAATTTCCAGCTGCCAAGGTTTCTTTTATGTGCACACCAATGTGTACACAGGTCCTTGGTTTTGTGTCCCATCCAAACGATGATACATTGTCCCTTGCTAAGCCCTCTGTCATGCACCAACACCAGGATTAAACACAGAACCTCCAGGACCAGGTTAACGAGCCAACATCTTACTCACTTAGCCACCCTGGCCCCCTGATATCAAAAAAAGAGGAACATTACAATTGTGTTATATTGATTGAACCTACCCTTAAACAATATATTTACCTGTTTGAATTAATGAATATTTCAGGTGGTAACTGTGTCAGTTCATTATGTTCTATATGTAGTTCTTCTATAATACAGTTCTTCACATCTGATGGTAGTTTATTCAGCTTATTATGGTTTACTCTCACAACTTTCAATTTCTGAGCACCAGAAAATAACCTTAAAATGAATAAAAGGAATATAAACTACTATGACAGTATTGGAAGCGTAAGACAGTCACTCATAAGCAATTGAAATTGGATGAATGTCATACTCGTATCAATCTGATATAGAACCCATGATTAAATAAATATATCTTATCATGAACAGTGTTAACAGTAGACAACTTTCCCTAGCTAACATCTGGAATCCAATTTAATAAATCAGTTTTTTTGTGTTGCAGAGAGAGAGAGAGAGAGAGAGAGAGAGAGGGGGGGGTTACACCCACTTAACACAAAATAGGTCATTTTAGGACTAACAAATGGATAGAATGATATACCATTATTTCTAGTTAATATTTTTAGAGAGCGAACGAGAGAAATGGGGTTTAACATCCACTTGACACAAACTAGGTCATTTCGGGACTAACATATGATTCAATTTTATTTCAATAATTTGCATGTGCATATGGGTCTGTAACATTTGGGCGGAGGACCCGGATAAATCTATGAGGTTGAACAGACGACCATGCCACTCAAAGACAAACCACTAGACCACCCAAACCCTGAGACATTATCAAAGTTTTAGAGGTATGTTTATATACTCTACCTGTCAGGTATAGATGTTAACTGATTATGTCCAACATCAATCTTTACCAGGAAGAAACAGTCTCCAATCCAAGATGGCAGAACACTTAAATTATTGCTGAAAAAAAACAAAACATTTAAACATTTCAAATATTCAAATACAGCTTTATCAACAATACAAAATTAAAAAACAATAAGCTAACCACAATTTCTTTTTTTTTACAATAAAGTGTACAATGGCTTCTCTTCTCAAATATCTTAAGCTTTAAAATCTAAAAGCCACTGGCCAGATATGGCTATTTAGCAAGTTCTCAATGAACCAAAAAACCTATTGGTTTGGTCAATATAATGAATAGTTTAAAAGTTTATGATCTTCATTTAAAGATACATTTTGGGAGATTAGATAAAGAGCTGGCAGTTCTCACTATAATAGTTAAAAACAAGATAATGTAAAGGGAATTTGCTGAAAATTTCAGTCAAATTGATCCACTCTGAACCGAGATTTTAGCGATGGAATTTTAGGTCTAGCCTCGATCATCATGACTTAAGTTTGTACGATAAAAAACATAAGTCTCGATTATTCATTTTTGATTTAATTATTTAATGAGCATAAGCAGAAGATTGGATGCTAATCCAGAAAATATCGGTGGCTAGCAATGACATCAAAAGTTGATTATGGTCTGGATAAGTTAATGAATGTCTAATTAATAATTTAGATAACATTTCGGGCCTAAAGAAAGACGTGCAATAGGCAGATTTAGCTCTTGCATAATGTATGTTTAATGGATTTTTATGTTATATCCCTAACAAACTACAATACTGTTGTATCTCTAAAATATTATAAATCCAAAAATAATACAATTCCGTTCAGTTTTTACAAAGATATGTTTAATTGAAAATTTGTCAACATCCACTGCAGATGTCATAAAGGATATAGTCAACATTAGCCAGTGCCTCTTTTGAATTTCATTGAAATCTTTTGATGGGCCTCTTTTTAACTGATTGAATCCAAGTCGACTGATTATAATTTGAGTACATCTTATTAGCGCAGAATAAGTTTAGAAAAATTTGATATTTTTCGAAAACTACAAATGGCTTAGATCAATCTGATTAAATATTTTATTTCAGTTTTTTTATACTTTTAATGGCCTACATTACATGTGAAGATCTGATTAGATTTAGTGGAAGGTTGCTTCAGAGGTCTACGAGCTGCATTTGATCCTATGATGTCAGACATTTGACTAACCAATCAGCATTGATGTTTCTAGTGGGTTACCCAAAGTTTCGAGCACCTCACACCAAAAACTTGCTGTAACAGACTGTTTCATTGGCTAATCCCTCACATCATTCAGAACGTGGGGTACATAACAACTCTTCCAGATCCGAGTGTGGTAAAGACAAGTAAAACTAAATTTTGAACTATAAAATGTGAAATGAAATAGGATCTGTGTTTTAATCAGATCGACCGCAGAGTAACAATAACAACATATATTAAAGGGCCAATCCCGATAATATTTTGGAGAATAAAACTGTTTAATTTTGTGTTAAAATCCCCTAGCTCAGAGCAACGAGGGGGTGGGAAGCATTGTCGACAATTTTTTCACGGGGGGGGGGGGGGGGGGGGGGAACATTTTGCGCCCTCCCCCCCTAGTTACAGGCCTTATAGGGCCGAGCAACTAACCCAATGTATGAGATACATTTTCAAACAACTTAAACCCGTCAGTCTTCATCTGGAAATGGAGACTGGTGTCCCAAGTTGTATTATGCAGTGTTTGGATAGAAACAGACTATTATTTTATAAAAATAATGTGTAGGTGAAATTTACTTTTCGTAATCAAGTAAAGCACATGGGTCATTCACTGTATAGACCTCAAAGGGAACAGGAATCGATTATCAGGTCACCCCAGGAATAAATTGACCCAAAATCTTAAAAGGGTTACGTGTCTGGATAAGCAGTTTTGACGTTCACGTCCAAACGAATCAATATTTTGAGCTGAAATTTTGAGACACAGTAAATACATCATTCCTCTATATTTTGGCACTTAAATTTTATACCTACTCAGACTTTTATTTTTGAGACTCTGATCAAATCGGGATTGTTCCTTTAAGATACATGCTGGGATTCTTATCAGAATTAGTATTAAACAAATGATAACTTACAAGGAGACATCTATACAAACAATATACTCCGCTTTAGGACTGATTGTTAACACATTTATTTCTGAAATTATAAAAGAACAAACACTATAAGATCTTGCAGAAAGAGAGATATAGGGAAAGAGGACTTAACCTCCTCTCAACACAAACTAAGTCATTTTGGGATATAACCTTGTTTTTTTTTCAATAATTCACTTGTGCGTAGGGCCTTGGTCTTTAGCAGTGGGCGACCACCCTTAATATTTAAAAAACATGGAAACAGCCATTACTAAATCCAAATAATTACTAATTTGTGAAAGACACAACAACATACATTTTAAAGTCATAGTATTGAGATTGAGGCATGGGGCAGGGGTTATTTATGTACAAGAGCCATAATTCTGTGTCAATCATAAACCATACTAGCTGGATCCTTCGCCTTGCGTAAGCGATAATATTCATCATAGATTTTCCATAAACATTAACATCAACTTGACACAAACTAAGTCATTTCGGGGCCAACATATTATGGTACAACTTTATTCAATAATTCGCTCGCGCATAGTGGATTTTAGTTCTGGGAGAAAACCCACAAGGATGGACAGGAGACCAAAACGACTTTACTTGACTCAATGTCAGACCTAACGCTCTAAAGTGCATGAGTTAAACCATTCAACCACTCAATAACCGTCTTGTTACAATCATTTTCATGTAGCTGTTTTAGTCACTTAACACAACATGTTAATCTAATTTCTTTTCAGATATGTTGTTCACAGAAACCCTCATTCAAATGTTTAATGGTGTGAACCGATAGAAATTTATATAAATAGACCAGTGTGCCACGAGATCTTCCTAAGTGTGCCACAAAGTTTTTAACGGCACACTAAGAAAATGCAAAAAGCCACTTGATCCCAATTGAGTATTCACTGGTGTCTACTGGTACGTTTATAGCTGTGTTTTTCTTTATTTAGTTGAGTCATTCTATGTTTCTATGACTAGTCTGTGTCTACGGTTGTATGCCGTCTATGACTTGCGATGTTTTTATTTTGCAAAATTCAGATATTTTTCATATATATTTAGCCAGGTGTGCCGCTATTTTTTCATGTGTTCCAAGGTGTGCCGTTGCCAAAAAAAGGTTGAGTACCACTGAAATAGACTATTGATTTATTTCTATGATTGAACCCATCAGTTCATCCAGAGAGAGAAATGGGGTTTAACTTCCACTCGACACGAACTAGGTCATTTCGAGACTAACATATGGTTTAATTTTATTTCAATAATTCGCTTGCGCGTAGGGGTCTTTAGCCATGGGAGGAAACTGGAGGACCCGGAGAAAACCCACGAGGTCGGACAGGCGACCCTACTCATTGTCACATGCAACCGGGGATTCGAAACCACGCCAGTTGACTCAATGATAAGCCGTATGATACAGCATGCATGTGCTAACCATTCGGCCATCCAACCCCCGCTTAACATCTTGTATCTTCAAAATAATTAAATGAAGACTTCACAATATACATAAAGTTATCTTAGTTTACTAAATGTCACCTTGGTAACATTGAAAGAATGCTTATCGAATTGAAACTTTGTGTAAACCAATGATTCTTGCCCCATTGTTCTATCTTTTTTGTTTTTAAAATATTAATTGCAGTTCTACCCAATTAAAGGGATGGTATGACTTTCGAAACCACTGAGGAAATAAATTAATTAAACTGGATGCTATTATTGCTTTCAGAGAGTATGTGACAAAGAGAAGGGTCGCCTGTCCAACCTCGTGGGTTTTCTCCGGGTACTCAGGTTTCCTCCCACCGCTAAAGACCCCTATGTGCAAGCGAATTATTGAAATAAAATTGAACCATGTGTTAGTCCCGAAATGACCTAGTTTGTGTCGAGTGGACATTAAACCCATCTCTCTCTCTCTCTCTCTCTTTCTCTCTCTCTCTCTCTCTCTCTCTCTCAGGAAATGATATGGAGTTCAACATCCTATTGTTCTCCTCCGAAGCTATAACACTCATACAAGTATCAGCCCAAAAATGGTTCAGTGACTTTAGTTTAGTATGTACAAAGGTATGTGGAATGGAAATTCTATGATGCTGTGCTATGTTATGAGTACATGAAAATTTATTAGTGTGCCTGTTTTAAATCCAAGTCGAGACATCATCTAGCATTATAATGTAGTATTTTGATTTCTTGATTTAATATTAACTAATCAATCATGGATTAAGCTGTAAGAAATTGATTTTTTAGCGAAAAATAAAAATAGTTCATCATTATACTAAAGATGATCATTTTCATAACTGCTAATTTTTGTACTGAATAACATGTAGCACCATGTGTCTCTTGTCAGACGTGGAAAGCGGCCCAGGTACTAAAACCGGTCGCCACATTCTACGTATGATCCATGCACTCTCCTCTTACTATGTATCTTAATAGCCTTGTGCTCGTCCAGTAGTTGTAAATGTCTTCTTTGCTTCCTTTTCTCATTGTGTATTTTCTTCTTCTTTTGTAAGTAGTTAAGACGTTTATCTTCTCATTAATTAGTTAAGCTGTTTGTCTTATGTAGCACCATGAGCCTTCTGTCTGACGTGGAGAGCGTCTATGGGAAACCGGTCGCCATGCGAATATGTTATTTCTCGAGCAAAAATTCTAGCAATATTATTACATTCATCCCTTCCTTTAAGACTTTTTGCTCGAGAAATAACATATTCGCATAATATGTGATATGTACTTAAAATACTTAAATCAACTTAGGGTTTAAATGACATATTGTGATATAAAAACACTTGTAGAGCCATAACATAACTGGTTCTATGTCAACAACATGTTAACAGATATCTCATGAGAATATTCTTCAGTAAAATTCCATTCCACCATATAAGGGTGGGTTGTCGACGTCATTGGGCTCAATTAACCAATCTCTATAATTATCTACATCATATTTGACCAATTGGATAATTGAATGTCCAAAACCAGTAGATACAAAATTAGGATACTGGTGAGAATTCGCCAGACTTCTATTAGGTTCCAGAGGGCTTACATCTGAGTTCCTAGACAGCCGCGAGGCTGGCTAGGGTAGAGAAATGGTTTTAGCTTGTATTGTTATCTATTATGCTATTATACCTGTATTCAGCTATATATATATAAAATGTAGAAGCAAACTGTCGCATTGTTATTCCTGGTAAGACGTCTTAAGAAAACCATTAAGAAGTAAATACACAACGTGAAGCAGAAGTAAAGACAGCTAGAGACAAATTCTAGACGATCACAAGGCTACAGAAATATGTAGTAAGAAAAGATGCATGGGTCGTATGTAGGATGTGGCGACCGGTTTCCCATAGACGCTCTCCACGTCAGACAGAAGGCTCATGGTGCTACATATTCTATTTGGTTGCCGTGACAGTTTCGACCTTTAGGGTAAGCAGAAAATTTGGAAGAAGATTAGAAGAAGCAGAAGTAAAGACAGCTAGAGACAAATTCTAGACGATCACAAGGCTACAGAAATATGTAGTAAGAAAAGATGCATGGGTCGTATGTAGGATGTGGCGACCGGTTTCCCATAGACGCTCTCCACGTCAGACAGAAGGCTCATGGTGCTACATATTCTATTTGGTTGCCGTGACAGTTTCGACCTTTAGGGTAAGCAGACAATTTGGAAGAAGATTAGAAGAAAAGAGAGTAAGCATCACATATTTTCCACATCTAATCAGTGACTGCATAGCACTGCATAGTCTTACATATTCTAATTTGATACTGTAACGAAGTTTCGACCTTTGGGGTAAGAAGTCACTTTAGAAGAAGAATACATATTTGAAGACGTTAAGAAGAAAACCTGTACAATCCAGCAACAGAAAAAGTCTGGTGGAAAAAAATCTGGTGAAGATATTCGGAAAATTGGGTAAATACATTTTGTTTGGTACATTAAATGTGTTAAATTTGTTTAAAGACCAAATAATATTAATTTAAAGTTAAAATCTGATTAGAAACTAAGTATTTAAAATTTAACTGTATAGAGAATAAATTACAGTCATTCATAAGTTTAGATTGATAGGTTTATTAAACAATATAATATCACTGGTTAGGTATGTATATTATCAGGTTAACATGACCTGTAGTAAATTTGAGTAATAAAATTAAAGTTAAAGAGAAAGTTTAGGGAGTAGGTTTTAAAAAAAAATGTTTTGATATAACTAAGGAATAATAAGGAAACGGAAAAGGGAATAAAGTAAGGAACTAATGTTGTCTCCGGATCGCAGTGAGAACGACGGCAGAGCTAAGGATGAAATTTGTGAGTGATTAACTCTAGTTTCCTAGTTGACCGTGGTTTTTACTGTGATTCGTTAATTTGTGTTTTTTGTTGTTTCGTATACTATATAATTTTGAGGCCCTTAGTCCAGGCCTTAGAGTTGTTGTAATTTAACTTTTGATTAAAAAGTTAGGTTATGTTGAAAATCCCATATGGTTCATCTAGGGATGTTGGTTATAGTTTTCCTGGGAAAAAATAAAATTATTGGCACGTTAAATTGTGAGATTATCGCAAAGTCATTAATACGAGTTTAATAGGAGGTTAAAGTTAAGAATGTGACACTTTTTTAGAAAAGTGTAGGTATACGGTAGATTTTGTCGTATATAATTTTATGTAATTAAATTTTTGCTTAGAAACGTAATATTAACAACGTTTAATATACTGCTAATTGCTTTAAGCTGTCGACATGAGATGATTAGAATGTGTATTTGACATTAGGTCAGATTATTATAAACAATAGGTTCTAATACTGTGTTAAATTTGACGTGTGTAAAAGTCACGGATTGCATTAATATAATATATAGGATGTAGTTAACTGTATATGTGTTATTAAAAGTTAGGTATGTTCTAATTGTTTTGTTTCTAGAATATAGACTGGTGTTCCGAGGGAGTGAAGTGCACGTCACTTGCTTTGAACATGATTCTAAATAATGTTTATATACATGTAATACTAATAATGGAATAGGAACTGTAGGATGAAATGGAATGTCATTCATATACTGGCCATATTTGATTGACAGTTCTATTCTAGATAAATTAAAGTCTGGTATTGTCATAGGTGTGAGCTCAGCTTGTGTCAGTGTCAGTCTGATAGAAAATGTTTAGGTAATAGTGGTTAGTGTTTATAAAAAACGAAATACAAAATTGTAAATGATTAGGTCAAAAAGGTCACATTACTGACTGAGAAATATAAAATAATAATGAAATTGTTTTGGGGGAATTCTAAAACACAAATGGAAATTCTAAAACAGAAAAGCAATTATAAAATTACTGATCGAGTTCAGGTCAAGAGGTTAAAGTAAGTTTGAAGATTTATAATTAAAGAGACACATCAAAGTTTATTTAATAATTAAATAAAATTTAATTTTAATTAAGAGTAAGATTTACAAGTACGTTTTCGAAATAATATATTAGTAATAATGTTAGACTAATAGCAACATAAAGTTTTAAAAAAAAAAATAGTAATAGTTAGTTCTTGGTCTGATGGCAATGACATGTTTGAATGACGGATAAAATTGTACAAACCAATCATACTAAGAAGAAAAAAAGAAAGTTTCAACTTGATACTATGGTAGCTGGAACAGACCAATATCAATCCAAGAAGAATAAATGGTTTACCAGTTTACCAAATTGACATTTCCTGAGACAGAATTTAAAGTGAAACCTGAACTTTATAAATATCATGTGATGTGTTATAGTGTTTTGATATTAGGACACTTGAAGTTTTAAAAAAGACAATTTGTGTTTTCTGTGTTTGGGCTTAGTGAATTTTCATAGGATTTTACAGTGATGAACTTTTTGGAGAACTTTTGCATGCAACTTTTGATTTTTGATTTTTGATTATGTGTGTTTGTGTTTTCAGCTTTGTTATACAGTATAGTATCATTGATATTTGCCTGTTGCATGAATAATTATAGGGTTTAGCACATAGACGTTTTAAGAGTCTCCTACCTGTTCATTTAGCATAAATCTTGCAAGTGGGGGAGGTGATATATGTTGATTTTCTAGATTTCTGCTACATTTATGAATAGTTATATAATTCTACAGATGTTGGTAAGGTTATTGTAAAGGATTCAAGGGATCTTCTACCCATTATCGAGCAAAAATTCTAGCAATATTATTACATTACCAGGAATAAAAATGCGAACAAAATGCAAAATAAATTACAATAAAGTCATTCTTTCAATCCCAATCCACCCAGTTTCGCTGGGGTGAGTCGAGTTGAAAGAAAATGCTACATCTTGATCTCCCTCTGGAATCAAGTCGCTGTCTGATGAATGCTCAGAGATATGATATTCTTGTAGCTTTTGGTTTGGACCTTCAATTATCTAATTGGTCCATTATAATGTAAATAATTATAACAATTGGTTAATTAGCCTAATGAGTGCATGAGATCTGACGTATAAAGAATGTGTGAATCCAATAATTAGCCTAATGAGTGTGTGAGATCTGACGTCAAAAGAATGTGTGAATCCAATAATTAGTTAAAGAGATAATATAATGCTACGTGTATTATTAATTTAAAGAGCAAATATTCTATCAATAGTCTTACATTGTTTTGTCATACACTATAATTGATGAAAATCCAATGATTGCTTTCAACTCATACAAATAAGTTGAAACATTTGTAAAATTTTAATAAACCACAACAAATGTTGCTTGATTATTTCATTTGCTTGATTGCTTGCTGGAGATTAAAGAGACATTCTCACATATCACTGAGATCAAATCTTGCCTGAAAATCACACATAAGGTGCCCAAAGGACAAAAATGTAAAGGACAGTTGGACTTTATTGACTACTGTGGAAATAGATTATCATATAATTTGGATGCTATTATACTGCTTTGACTGGCCGAGAGTTAAGACATACACATGTGGAAGTAATGAATTTAGTTGTACCTTTCTAAATGTCAAGCACCGCTGAAATGGTACCCATAGGTGTAGACAGCCATCTTAGTTTGGGGTGGGCACCAAGCTGCTGAGACTATTTGCCCGAAAATTTTCTTTGTCACCCACATTTTTAGAATGAATCAATTATTAACTAAAACAAGTTTTCCACAAATATTATTGTGCATGGTCTGAAGTATCAGAGTATTCAAAACGTAAACCACGATCGATTTCATTTTACAATAATATTTTTATGATGTACATGTATGGTCTCATTCTCTGATATGTGTGCCTGACAAATGTAAATACATTGCCCGAATAACAAATAATGAACGGTTCACTGAATCTAATGGGGGTGGGGGAAGCGCTGGAACCTATGCCTATACATGTACCTGTCATTTTGAACTGTCGGATAATATCTGTGTTAGGTCTCTAGTCCTAGGGGACCAATTGTCTGGAAGCGAGATGTCCTATACTTCCAGACATGCGTTACATTAAATTATTTAGAATTTTCTTTATCTTCTTTGTATTTATGATATTCGTAGTCTCGTACCTGCATTAGTAACCAAGTTTTAAACGCAATCATCCATATTATTCGATAACTTGTTTCTTTGACAAACATTCTAGATGATCACTTCTTAGAACACGTCGCATATTCTTTTCTCAAAGACTCTACAAAGAATAAGTAGGAAAATGGAGAATTTCTTGATGGGAATTGTCGCTCTTCTTTTGTTCAAAGGTATGATTAAAACAATAATAGTTTTCATGTTAATAACAATGAAAATATGTATTTGGAGTATGTATGCATTTGGAATTTGCCATTATTTTTGTGGTAGGCCTATTTATTAAATAATGGTTTATGCAGGTAGAACGACTGTCTCTTCACAAAAATTGCTCCTTTAGCATGGCATGACCAAAGAGAACATATGCATTTGGAACTTGCCATTATTTTTGTGGTAGGCCTATTTATTAAATAAAAGTTTATAAGGCTGCTCTCTAGGCAAAAATTTCTACTTTAACATGGTATGACCAAAGAAAAAAAAAATGATTTATTTGTCTGATAATGACATTGTCTTCTAGACAATGAATTTGGTGAATTCTAAATTAAAGATACATTATGGGAGATAAAGAGTTGGTAGTTCTCACTATAATAGTTAAAAACTAGACAATTTTCTGAAAATTTCAGTCAAATTGATCCACTCTGAACCAAGAATGTAGCGATTGAATTTTGGACCTAGCCTCGATCATCATTACTAAAGTCGGTACGATCAAAAACATAGTCTCGATTATCCATTTCTTGATTTAATCATGAATGAGCGCTGAGCAGCAGATCCTAATCCAATAAATATCGCAGGCTATAGTGATGACATTGAAAGTTAATTATGGTCTGGATAAGTTAATGTCTAATTAAAGATACATTATGTAAGATTTAGATAAAGAACTAGCCATTCTTACTATAATAGTTCGAAAATAGATAATGAAAAATGAATAATTTGAAAATTTCATTCAAATTACTCTATTGCGAGTGAAGATATTAGCCTTTAAAGGTTTGACAAGACGTGTGCAATAATTTCAACCACCGTACTGGTCTCGCTCCCCCATTTTTAGCTGAAATCAAAATATGGCCTAAATGTTCTAATCTATATAATTTAGGAGAAATATGATGCCATCTAGGGTTGATTATGGTCTTGTCATGTTAATAAATGTCTAATTGATACTTTAGATAACATTTCAGTCCTAATGAGCTTTCTTACATCTAAAGGAAGATGCAGTCGACATCTATGTCCATTACACTGTATAAATTTTTAACTTGCATGACATATTTCCATGGTACATTTAAAGCATCATTTCCAAATTGCTATCAGACTCCAAAACCATGCCAATAATGGTTCTGGTTGATCTAGTCAATCTTGTTTTATTAACTATTCAATAGTCTTGATTACCATGTCCTTAATCATAGATTCACTTAGCCATAAATATGAAATATGCATTTTGGATACACATTGACAACTAGAATCTGTAAGCCAGAAATTGATTAAACTAAAACACAAGTAATGAATCCCCATATTTCATAATTTCAGTTACATATTCAAGATTTTGTAAAAATGAATTAGAGTGTCAAAGGAACTTTTCATCACTAAATTAAATAAACACCATAAAATATTTTGAGGATTTGGGTAAATAAAATTCCGAGAAATCATGTCTGGCAAATAGTGTTGTTGTCAATAAAGCTCTATACCAGACAAGGCATTTCACAAACTTTGCGGTTTCTTTTTATTATTTTCAGTTTGTTTAAGTCTACGAGCGTATACTCCAAGAAACGAAAATTACTCTGTTCCATTGGCTAGTAAGGGATTCACCGTTACAAATATCACACAATTAAGATTTAAACTAAAGGCCTGTACTGATGGTCATATATTCCTACAGGAAGACAAAGTGGCCAATCTATATTCTGGGAGTTGGACGTTTGCACTCGGAACATTCAGCAACACAAGATCAGAAATTCTAACATCACCATTATTCAATGACAGATATAGCTTGCATGAGGAAGCTGTCTTGGACTGTAACCAGTTTATGCCATTTTGGATCCGTTGGAAAGGAAGATTGTTAGAGCTAGGAAAAGGCAGTGAATTTGGAACTGACAGGATATGTTTTCATAAAATCTCTCCATTGGAATTCAACTATGTATTCTTATTGACTGGATGGGAGAGTTATGGCTGCTGGGACATAGGTAAGATATAAATAACAATTATATTGATCACGAAGAACAATCAAATTCAAAGCCATCAATGATATAGTGTAACAGTATGTTAACTTCAGATTCTCAAGATATAATAATAATAATAATAATAACAAAAATTAATGTTCATTTCTTGAGTGCCAAATCCCTCAAAGAACATGCTGAAAGACATAGGGAGAGAGATAGAAATGGGGTTTAAAGTCCACTCGACAAAAACCAGGTCATTTCAGGACTAACATATGGTTTGATTTTATTTCAATAATTCGCTTGCGCGTAGGGGTCTTTAGCAGTGGGAGGAAACCGGAGGACCCGGAGAAAACCCATGAGGTTGGGCAGGGGACCCTACTCCTTGTCAGGTACAACCGGGGATTCGAAACCACGCCAGTTGACTCAATGACAGGGCTTATGATACAGCGCGCACGTGCTAACCATTTGGCCATCCAACCCCTCGCTCAAAGACTATAATAATAATAACAAAAAATAAGATCCATTTTAGTGCCAAATCCCTCCATAAACATGCTCAAAGCATGTTTTAAAGCCACAAACAATAATTCATGTCTGTTTAAATTTAGTCTACATAAAACTGTTTGAAGAAGTGAGTGGGATTTGAGTTTAGCTGTAGCGATTATTTTGATGCAAGTTGTTCCACAGTTTTGGTGCAGCACTACTAAAGCTTATGTTTCCAAACTGTTTTAATTTTGATTAGGGAATGCACAAAATGCATTGATGCTGGGATCCCAAAGTACAAGTTGGCTGGTGTGTAGTTAGTAGTTCCGAAGGATACCTATCAAATGACAATCAAATACTGTTCTGAGATCAACTTTTAGCTTGGGTGTTGAATATACTTCTTTTAAGTTAAAAAAAAGATTTAAGTATTTGTGAACATTGAAAGGGATGCCCCTTGAGGTGTATGATTATACTTCCATCAAAAATATTGCCTTTCCCTCAAAAGATAAAATTAGAAAACCAAAACATTGCACAAAAAAAAGATTGCACACCAAGTTAAATAAAATAAAAATTTTATCATCTAACATCAATAAGGCACAGACAAACAATAATCTGCCCAAATATTTTTAGCATAATAATGATTAGATATAAACTTTTATCGGCACCTTTCTTCATAGCAAAATATTTAAGACATATTGTTCATCGATTCCATTAATCCAACATTTTACTTTCTATTGACATCATATTTACAAATAGGATTTTATTTATGATAAATTTCAAGATGTCCATCAGTCCCATTCAATTGTTCATTTTATTGAATCCAATATTATATTAGTTTCTATTGATCTTATATTTGTGGCAGTGAATAGAATAGTGTTTATTATTATATTTTAGAAACTGTTAGTCCCTCTAGTGTATTGACGACCAGCTGGAACAAGCTATCGGGAAACAAAAAGCTTGAGGGATCAAAAGTTACAAGTCATCATGCCAGAAGCTTGACAGAATGTAATCTTAAATGTGTGACACCTACTGAAGATTTGTGTGCTTGTGTAGAATACAGTTATAATAAGGTAACTAAACAATGTTTACTTGGGGATGAGAGTGGAGCTAGCACCATTGTTACAGCAACCAACTGGAGAACATGGCAACTGATGTAAACAGATTATGGTACCACTCGGTTTATGAATGCAGATAGGAGAAGCAGCTATATTCTAATTAAAACTTTAAAAACTTGTGCTTTGTCTGTATATAAACTTGTATTCTGCTTAGCATACCATTATAACTTTTATGTATGTTATACAAGAGTTAGTACTTATATGTAAGTGAATTCCTATAAACAGATGATGAGAGAGAGAAATAGGGTTTAACATCCAGTCCACACAAACACATGGTTCAATTTTTTTTCAATAACTCACTTGTACAGTGGGAGGAAACAGGTGGACCCAGTGAACACTTGCAAGGTTGGACCTTGCCACGCACAAGCGTGGAATCGAAACCACGCCACTTGACTCAATCGACTGACCTTAAGATCTAACACATATGCATTCAACCATTTGGCAACCCATCCCTCAAACAGACGATTAGATAAACGTAAAAACCTAGGAATGTGATGATGTGGTGAACCATTTAGCCGTACAATCATTTGACAAAATAAAAACACAAATATAGCAACCACATTGGATTTTCTGAGAACCAAAATATTTGTTATTGTATAGCCTTGGTGTTGCTGGGATCTATATGGATTCAAATTGGGAGAAAATTTCTAGTTTTGTTAAGAATCAAAATTTGTTTAACTTACTGTTATGAGATGCAAACAGACTCTTCAATGAACTTCCATTAATCTGTAATGTCTTAATCTTGTTTCGCTCACAATTTAAATACTCCAAGGAACGAATAGCACGGATGTCCAGATCTTCAATCTTGTTGTCTCGAACATCCAAATGGGTAATATGCTGTAAGAATTGAAACTGGGACATCTCGGCGGATGAGATTTGCAGTTTGTTCAATCTGAGATCAATTTTTTTAACATGAGTCATTTCACTCAGTAAATCTATGGGGAGTCGTTCAACAGAGTTACCTGCCATGATTAAACTGTCTATTTTGTAAACAGCAAGTTTGGACTGTAAGAGAACACTCGGTACTGTTTTGAAGCGATTAAATGCGAGAACTATGACAGACAAGTTGGTCATCTCCATGACAACATCTGGTAATGTTTGTAATCTGTTATTGTGAATATGCAGAAGCCGCAAACTGGAAAAGAATAAATAAAAATTTCTGTAAATACAACTTTTATAATAATAATAATAATAATAATAATAATAATATCTGCTAAGCAGATATTAAAGCTTTCATATTCACAATCACTTCCTGTCACGTAATGGGTCATATAAAGAATCTGAACAAGATATAAAAAAAAAATCATTAAAATCGGTCAAAAACTCACGAAGTTAATGCGATTTTTTACTCGTAAACAAATCTGTCGGCACGAAAACCGTCAGACGCAAAATTCGAAATTGTGGCATTTTCAAATACCATAAATTCGACCCTGATGCCGGCTAACCAGAAATGTCTTCATTTTGGAAATAGGAGACTATTCTCCAAACTACGTCCTATTGTTTTCATTTTCATGTCCGATATCGTCGATTTTTCACTTTTTCTAATATTCAGTTCAAAATGGTGACCATCCGTTGACCAATATCAAAATTCTGATCCGATCGATTTTTAGGCATCCCTTCAAGGATTCAGAAAATGTAACTCCCATGTCTGTAAATAAAATACTGCAAAAGCCTTATGGATTTTTCACGTTTCAAGATGGTTGCACTTCCGGTTCAATAGGCAGACTTCATATTTTGTGTACACATCAGTCCTTTCTTAGCTAGTACAGAAAATAAATTTCAAGGCAATCTGACCTATATTTCGTCGATTTTTTTGAAAACTTTGATCCTTAATTTCATCAAGGGGAGATAATTTTGAAAAATTCTAATGACATCTTTTAAGTCGCATCTGTAAGATCTATTTACATACTAAATTTCATGAAAGTTGTAAAGTTGGTCTCAACTTCCGGTTCAAAATCACAGCGACGAATTTTCGAAATTTGAAAATCCAAAATTGCAGTTTTGAAGTAAATGTTTCAAGGTACGCAAAGAAAAAAGAATTAGTAAAATAGGTTAAATAGTCACAAAGTTACAGCAATGTAGGTCAAATTAGTACAATTACAATTATCAATACAAACATAAATCTGACCTTAATATATACATAATGTTAATTCAGGCCCTGAGTTCACAAAACATTCTCAGACCTTAGTTAAGAATTTACTCAAAATTATTCACCTTATTTTAACTAAACTATAGACCTTTATAAAACTTTTGTTGTTTTAATGTATCGAATACATCAATAAAAAGTTTTGTGTTTCTGGATCGAAGATTTTCTCATAAACAGCGTTTGAAAGTTGAGTAAATTATTAATTTAAGTCTGAGAATGCTTTGTGAACTCGGAATGAATCATATTTGAAAACAAGATAACATAAAGATGCACTATGTAAGAATTAGACAAAGAGATGGTGTAGGATGTAGGGTCTGACAAGGACAGCTGTCTAATCGTTCGGATGGGATAAAAAAAAAAAAACAAGGTCCTGTATACACATTGGTGTGCTTGTAAAAGATCCCCTGGCCAATATAGGAGTAAACATTAGCGCTGCTGTCGGGGCAAAAATTCTCTCATAGCACACTTTATGCTCGTATTCAATAGCCCAGTCGGAGCAGAACAGTAGGCCGTTAAACCCATTTCATTTAATTTTCATTTTTTTATTTCATTCTTGCTATAATAGTTTAGAAATAAATAATTCATAAATGATATATTGGAAATGTCAGTCACCATTGCAACAGTAATAAACGAAGTCTCGATTATTTGTTTTAACGTTTAATGAAGATATGGCAGACATTGTCTAATAATTAATATCTCATGTACATAAATTTCTAAATAAAAATTTATATAACATTTGAAGCCAGAAAAATACCCCCAACAGATTTAGCTCTTACATAATGCATCTTTAAGATAGAGCAACCTCCATGTTGCTAGACATTCAACTGACTTCAGTTATATAGCAGATCATAAGCACCACCTTTCGCAGACATGACCATGTCCCAGATTGTCACATGATCATTCAAAATGGTGCTTCCCTTGTATTAATTGTAGCCTCTATTATCATATATGGACTTCAAGAGAGATATAAGGGATAATATCAAAGTGAACAGGCTGAAATCACTCCACAATGATAGACCAATTAAAATGCTGTATATGAATCCCAAATGGCAGTCTATTCATAGATTCTCTACGGACTATAAATATATGAACACAATATAGAACATACAGCATTGTTGTTCAATTTTTCATTATCATCCGCAAATAAACACAAATTATAATTGATTGCATCCTTCTGTTATGTCAATATTATTATCGTCATTGAAATTATTATTTTTCTTTTTTAATTTTAAACTATTGCTGTTAATTTTGTTGTAGACTACGCTACTTAAACATACATTATGCAAGAGCTAAATCTGCCTATTGCAGGTCTTTCTTTAAGGCCTGGAATGTTATCTAAACTATTAATTAGACCTAGTCTGAGATATTTATAGCATTTAAATACAGTTTGTGATGGTTAATTTAATGTAAAAATGAATAATAGAGACTTGGTTTATTATCACAACAAAGTTAGCAATGACTTTCGAGGTTAACCTAAAATTGAATCGCTAATATCTCGGTTCAGAGTGAAGCAATTTGACTGAAATTTTCAGCATATTCTGTTTTCTATTTTTCACCTATTATAGCAAGAACTGTCAGTTTTTTATTTAATCTTACCTAATGCCCCTTTAACTTGAATAAAAAGTTTATTTCATATGTTCTTAGTTCTAGGCCCTTCAATCATCCAAGATAATGCCAGATTATCAAATTCGTCAATTTAGAAATATCACTGTTATTTTAGATTTTATCACCCAATAACACATTCTACAGTAAATATTGCCCATGTAAAAACATTCATATTTATCAAAAAAGACTTGCAGGAGATTCTCTATATATTGTAATAGTTTCATTTTGAACTTACTTTGATAAGTCAGCTATTTGACTTGGAATGTCTTCTAGTTTGTTACTGGCTAGATTTAATTCCACCAAGGATCTCATCCGACACACAGCTAATGGAAACACCATTAAATTATTATCGGCTAAATTTAAACTCTGCAGATGAGTAAACCTGAAAAATAATTCATATTTCAGTTTCTTCAACATTTTGGAGCAATTTGAGAATCGGCCCAATATTTTGTAAGACTATACAAATTACCCGGGTTGTAAACAGATTCTAATTTCTAGAACAGAAAATTTGAATTGTCTTATTATGGTTCAAAGATAAACATACAAAAAATACTTGATATGTTATGAAATGAAACGTCAAACCTTTCTGCACCAACCTACGTAATTACGTCTGGAACATGCCATGCAGTGTGCTAGGAGGGAAATGTCAGGGGATCTGTAATGTACTGCACATGATATACACAGGACCTTAGTTTACTGTCCTATCCGAAAGACTAGATGCTTTTCCTTGACATGCTCACATTCCTGCACAACTGACAAGGGGACACCACTCCGACCTGCACAACTGACAAGGGAGAAACCTTTATGTCCTGCACAACTAAAAAGGGGACACCACTTCATCCTGGACAACTGACAAGGGGACACTACTCCGTCCTGCACAACCAACAAGGGGACATCACTTCAACCTGCACAACGGACAAGGGAACACCACTCCATCCTGCAGAATTGACAAGGGGACACCACTCCATCCGGCACAATTGACAAGGGTACATCACTCCATCCTGCACAACTGAAAAGGGGAAACGAGGCTGGAAAATCAAGATGAAATTTCTTGGCATATTCATGAGCCATAATCCGATACAAATTACAAAAAAAACTCATTTTGGTTGGGTGTGGGGATAGAAGACACAAAATAATTTTAGCAAACGTAAACTGTCCTTTGTCCATCAATATTTCGTGACCACAGTTCGCCTAAATGTAATTTAAATATCACTGTATTTACCTTGGTAGGTCATCTAACCAACCAATGGTATAAATATCTTCTTCTATAGGTCGATCACGTAAGGCGTTGTGACGTAAAATCAACACCTGAAGATCTTCATTAATAAAAACTGTTTCTGGTAAAAACTCTAGATGGCAATTTGACAGATCAGCTTTGGTTGGTAATTTCGATGTAGCCTACAATAAAAGGAAATTTTCAATAATTTTTTCAGTGGATGGGAGAAGAGTTGAAATGAGAGGGAGAAATTGGGTTTACATCCACTCATCACAAACTAGGTCATTTCGGGACTAACATATGGTTCAATTTAATTTCCGAAGATTATTATAAGGCCATATCAAGATTTGAACACAGGACATTATAGTCGAAAGTCATGTGCCCTTTACTGCAAAACTACCGTAAAGTGCAAGAGAGGGGGGAATCATTAAATCAAATAGATTTTTAATTAGCAAAAATAATAGGTTTGAGTTTTTAAGTAATACATTTGTATTTGTACCTATACCACTTTATACAGTCATTTTATGTGCTCTTAATAATTAAGTAGTAAATCTGTATCTGTACCTTTTTGAGTTTTTTAATCCATTTATTATAATCTATTTCTTCTATAAATGATAAATAAATTGATCTTTCTCCATGGTCTGTTGAGGTTAATTTTAAACAATAACTTTGACTCTTGATATTTACTTCTTCTACTGAACCTTTTGCTAACTGGACGATGGTGGGTTTAGACATTTTATCTGAAATTACAAAATTCATAGTTAAACATACATTATGCAAGAGGTAAATCTACCTATTGCAGGTCTTTCTTTAGGCCTGAAATGTTACCTAAATTATTGATTAGACATTAATTAACTTATCCATTAACTTATCTCGATGGCATCGATAGCCTGCAATGTTTATTGGATTAGGTTTCGATTTGCTGTTCGACTTCCATTCATAATTTAATCATGAAATGGATAATCAAGACTATGTTTTTTATCGTACTTACTTTAGTAATGATCATCGAGGCTAGGCCGAAAATTCAATCACTAAAATCTTGGTTCAAAGTGGACCAATTTGACTGAAATTTTCAGTCTTTAAATTTTTACTGAACACAAACAGCATTTGATTAAAAACCACTGACAAAATCTTAAAGTAAGAGCCCTTGAGTGCAACATTATTTTTTTTTATTAAAACATACATTATGCAAGAGCTAAATCTGCCTATTGCAGGTCTTTCTTTAGGCCTGAAATGTTATCTAAATTATTAATTTACATTAATTAACTTATGCAGATCATAATCAACTCTTGATGTCATTGCTAGCCTGCGATATTTACTGGATTGGAATCTGATCTGTTGCTCAACACTCATTGATGATTAAATCGAAAAATGGATAATCGAGACTATGTTTTTTTATCGAACGACTTTAGTAATGATGATTGGGGCTAGGCTTTAAATTCAATCGCTAAATTCTCGGTTCAGAGTGGATCAATTTGACTGAAATTTTCAGCAAATTCCCTTTACATTATCTAGTTTTTAACTATTATAGTGAGACCTGCCAACTATTTTTCTAATCTCCCATAATATATCTTTAAAGAGTTGACAACACAATTCTTATGCCATTAATTTGAGACTAGTATATCATATTTTTTTTATTTCAAAGGCTATGTGTGCATTATGAGGAGGGAGAATTTTTACCCGAGAGCAATGTTTCCATTATACCCTTTTTAGAATTCCAGCTAACAATTCAAGGATTCTTTTTAGTGCACACCAATGTGTACGAGAGTGGATTTTGTTTTTCAAACCCATCTGAACAACAAGGCACACTTTCCCCGGCAGCCCCAAAGGTTGTTCTTGGCCAACACCAAAATTCGAACCTTGACATTTTATTCCATCTAAGAGCCAGTATCCTACTGCTTGACTAGCGTTCCCCCACAGATATAAGACTCTTTAATATCTCAACATTTTAGATTTAGACTTAAACCAAGTGGCATAACATTTAAAATGTGAAAATCCTTACCTCTATGTATAAGCAACCTGGTACCAGAGATTACACAGCGTCTTCTAACCCACTGATGGAGTAACTTCCCTTTACGTACATATACATAAGCTGAGAGCTGGTTTCTAGAATATGTACTGTCAGATACAGGTTTACCTAGAAATACGATTTAAATGTCAGAGAATTACAGTCACAATAGCTTGTATTCATGTTTTGACTTGCCTGCTTTTATTTCGTTCCTTACCTAAAACGTGCCTTTAATTACTAGGTAAACAATTTAAATGTCAGAGCATTGTCAGGATTTGAACAAGATAAAACACTGTTCCATCTTGAAAGTGAGGGATTGGGGGAGGCCTAACAAGTAAAATATTCTAGGCCTCCCTTAACCCAAATCTGGCACGGTCTACCCGGCTCCCCATCTGAAGGCCAGATGTCTAGTCGTTTGGATGGGACAAAAAAACGAGGTTCCATGTATATATTGGCATGCACATAAAAGATCCCTTGGCAGTTGGAATTCAATATAAGAGTAGGCCACAGTACCGCTGCCCGTGCAAAATTTTACTTCATTAGCCCAGTCGGAGCCGAACAGTAAGACATTAAACCCAATTGCATTTCATTTTATTTTATTTCTTGCATCCCATCTGATGGATATATTAAATTCTAAAATTAATGTATGTATTAATGTATGTATTTTTCATTCAAAGCTAGCCATATTCAAGCTACATGAGCCAATTTTCCCCTTTCTGATGAGTTTCTCATACAAATTGCGTATCGAGAACTTTTGTACATTTAGAGGTAAATTATAGTGATTGCCCATTAAAATAAATATATTCCGATTATTTTGTCATCAATTAATATTAATCTAGTATTATCATAAATCACTGACCTGTACCGAATATCTTATTTTAATATAAAAGAGTTTTTAAGCCAATGATGCATATCGTACCATGAAGTTTGTCTCAAGTGACAGGTACTTGATGACCATGTGGACAAACAAATTGTTAACAAGCTTAGTTCAATTGATTATACGCCTACTATTAGTCTAAAATACGGTATTAATTTAATTTATCGCAACCTATTTTAAAATATTTCAGTCAGGTGTGAATTTATAATTATGACCTAAAAACGTAAATCATAATCCCAGTTGTTGATGCAGAAAAGTAGGCCATTAAACCAGATTTCATAAGAAAAATAACTCATTTATAAACCACATTTCATAAGAAAAATAACTCATTTATAAACCACATTTCATAAGAAAAATAACTCATTTAAAAACCACATTTCATAAGGAAAATAACTCATTTATAAACCACATTTCATAAGAAAAATAACTCATTTAAAAACCACATTTCATAAGAAAAATAACTCATTTAAAAACCACATTTCATAAGAAAAATAACTAATTTATAAACCACATTTAATAAGAAAAATAACTCATTTATAAACCAAATTTCATAAGAAAAATAACTCATTTACCATAAATGAGTTATTTTTCTTATGAAATGTGGTTTAATGGCCTACTTTTCTGCATCAACAACTGGGATTATGAAGATGGGTATACATGCACCATGCTGTGTGCTATGAGGAAACTTTTGCTTGGACAGTGGTGAAAAGCAAAGAACAAAAATTTTACTGGAATTATTTGAAGACATTACATAATTGGCATAAAAATTATTTGATTTTCAAATAGGGGTCTTTAGCAGTGGGAGAAAACTGGAGGACCCAGAGAAAACCCAAGAGGTTGGACAGACGACCCTACTCCTTGTCACGTACAACTGGGGAATTGAAACCACACCAGTTGACTCAATGACAGACCTTGTGATACAACGCGCATAGGCTAACCATTCGGCCATCCAATACAGAAATTATATCGGTACAATTTTATTTCACTAATCAACTTACACTTAGGGGTCTTTAGCCATGGTAAGTAACCAGAGGACGTACGTACCCCTTGGCACGTACAAGCTTGGGATCGAAATCAAGCGATCTAACTCAATGACAGATCTTATGATCTAAAGTACACACAACTGACCACCCACAGAAACCTCTATATAAGGTGCTAACAAGAGGGGAGGGGTGGATGGGCGAATGGTTAATAAGTGCACGCAAAGGGCCATAACTAGCTCAGAGCAACAAGAGGGGTGGAAAGTGTTCTCGAGGGTGCTTTAAAATTGACGGACAATGTATATCTATTGTTTTTATGGTCGACAATTTTTTTCACAGGGTGAGGGCGACTTTTTGCAACTGGCGGGGTTTCGATTCCTCGGTTGTACGTGACAAAGAGTAGGGTCGCCTGTCCAACCTCGTGGGTTTTCTCCGAGTCCTCTGGTTTCCTCCCACTGCTTAAGTCCCCTACGCGCAAGCGAATTATTGAAATAAAATGGAACCATGTGTTAGTCTCAAAATGACCTATTTTGTATCAACAAGTGGACATTAAACCCCATCTCTCTCTCTCTCTCTCTCTCTCTCTCTCTCTCTCTCTCTCTCTCTCTGCTAACAAGATTTTTGTCTCACCATAACAACTTGGAAGGATCAGATTGTCACCCCCCGCCCCATTTTAATCTAGTTACTTAAGACAATTAATCTATAGAATATATTGTTACCTGCATAGAATTTTACCAGGTAGGCTGTTACATCATCGGCTCCTATTTCTTGAATCCGCCTTTGATTGGAATAACCAATACCTTGTAGATATTCATTCTGTATCGCTAACGGGCAATCAAACGGCTCCAGACGGCGAATAATGTCACCATTTTGCTGAATATGCAAAGAGTTACTGGGAATTCCAAAATGTAAACAAATCTTTTGTGCAGGAGTCGTAATCGTACATGGGAATAATCGCGATGATGCATCATGCTCTGAATGGAAAACTCTTATAAATCCATGGCTCAAGTCTGCATCCAACCATTTTGTCAAATCGACATTACGATCCTCAAACTTTCCTTGAGCTCGAAAGTTTGGACCATTGTTAGCATTTCCCTTCGTATCCTTCGTATACAGATCTGTTAGGGAGTCTGATAACTCCCAATTCTGCTGCTCACCATTCGGCACCATCGTTCGGGCCGCATTTTGATGAGTTATCCCTGGTTTCAGGATATCTCCGACACTCCACCAAGCGTCGCTCGTGTTTGATTTTCTGTGAACTAGGTAATCATGGTGTCCTTCGTCCGAGCCTGATGAATAATAGGATTTAGCACTTGAGTTACTGAGTTGACTTGCTGCACCATAACTTTTCACCGACATTTCACATTATAGAATCCTTCAGTTTTTCAGAACCTGCAAGAAAAGTATTGGAAGTTATAAACGTTTGGAAATACAGAAAGAAGGTTGTAGAGGACTCAGTCGTCACTCATAATGTTTAAATATTCAATGTAGCATTCACAAATTTGAGTATTTTAGACACAATAAGAATTTGGGATTTTACTACAATGTTACTCATGATTGATAAAGCGGTTATATAGTGTTTTCATTATATGCCAGAAAAAAATCAGACAAATCATTCTGGCGATAAACAAGTATATTTATCTTGATATGGAAATGAAATGAACTAGGGTTTAACGGCCAAATTTACTGCAACAAACAAACTCATGAAGATGCCTATACACCATGCAGTGAGCGTGAGGATAATTTTGCCTGAACAGTGGCATTTCTTTCTACTCTTCTTCAAATTCTAACTATCAAGGATTCTTTTACATGCATGACAATGTTTTTTGTCCCATCATTCTGCAACACTGACAAGGGTAAACCATGCTGAAAAACACTGCGACATTTTCTTGATCAACACTGTGATCGAACCTGTTAATAAGCCAGCGCCTCACCCACTAATGTGTGGTCTATCAATATAATTATATTCATGCCCCTCAATGTGAAGATTTACTGACACTGAAATGTCACTCTGTAATTTTTTTCCTATTTATTTTGAACTCATGCATGTTTTATTACCTATCTAATTTCATTATCGTCATTGTTTGTTCTTCTATTTTTTTTACATAATATATAAAAACAATTTCAACCAGGATATGCATTATTGTCATATAGGCGCTACGGCCTACTCTTATATCGAATTCCAACTGCCAAGGGATCTTTTACGTGCACGCCAATGTGTACACGGGACCTCGGTTTTTCGTACCATCCAAACGACTAGACAGCTTTCCTTGTCAGCCCCTCCGTCCTGCATCACTGACAAGGGAGAACCACGCCAGAAAATCTGGATGAACTTTCTCGGCCAATGCAGGGATCCCTTTAAGTAAGAGAGAAAGAGAATGAATCTTCATGAACATCTGTAATTAAATGGGCGGTTTTTAACTGTTAACACACAGATACGTAAATTGAACTGGTAAAATGTATAAACTGCACACCCTATAATCTGCGGCAAATATCTTATCTAAGGCAAATAAACCGGTTTAGTGATATATCAAGAACCATTAATTGAAAATTAAACCACTTTTTTTCAAACATGTGTAATGCCCCATCTAGATCGTTTGTGATAAACTTAAAATGTATGGTTGAGTGTTAAACACATAAATCTATGGGTGTTATACTGAGATATAAATTGTATGGTTGAGTATTAAGTAAATACAGGTGTTATACAGATATCTGTTAATCTGTAGGATACACTATAAAGATGCATCATGTAAGATTTAGATAAAGAATTCGTTCTTGCAATAGATAATGAAAAATTAATATATATGAAATTTTTATTAAAATTACTTTATTCTGAACGATGTTATGACTGTACTTAATAGACTAAGTCTCGATTATCCATTTTCTTGTTAAATTTTTTTTAATCTCGCGGATGTTTTAATCCATTTAAATTTTCTCCATATTTTTGTTCATTTAAATTTTGTTTAAATATAAAATAAAGACCATACAATAGGCAAATTTAGCTCTTGCATAGTGCATCTTTAATAAAGGTAAATAAACCCTTCATAATAAAAACTTCAACAAAATAAAATGAAATGAAACCCTTAAAATGAAATTAAACATTATCTACATTATTATAATCACCAAATTGATCGAAATAATTTGTTGCTATTTTAATATGATTATAAACTGGTGTATGTATTTAAAAATATATATACCCATCTATAATCCTAGAACTTAATTATTCTCCATCCTGCATCACTGACAATGAGAAAATCCAGTCACCACCAGGCTCAAACCCCCAATCTCTGGGTTAGTGAGCTAGTGCCTTCACTCACTGAGCCACACACATTAGGTACATAAACCAATATACAAGGAAAACTAAAATTTTTAAATAAACTCACACCTATTACTAAAGGTATATCTTGGCCCGTAATCTTTAGACACAGTGGTTCATGTGCTCGTAGATCCTGACACTTTGAACTCTAACAGAAGATTCAGATTGGCACGTGAGTTACTGGGGTATATGATCCAATATACAAGGAAAACTCAAAAGTCAATTCTTAAATAAACCCATACCTATAAAGGTAAATCACACTGTACCTTGTAATCTGCAGGAAACATATTATAAAGGGTAAATAAACAGGTTTGGCCTCATGAAAAATCTCTCAATCCAAAATAAACATCATGTAATAACTTGATATAAAGCAAACAAACCTCCGCAGTCTTGTTGAATCACACGGATAAAAAGAACTATCCCATTATACGACACTACACAGATTTAATTAATATTTAAACGGGTTTGCATGACACAGGATACAAACACATATACACCAGGTGAGACAGTGTCTATAGCCTTTATATACCATGATAAAATATTAACACCTTCTATTCATGATATATATAAGTATCAGCTTCTATTGATGTTTTACATACTCAGCATACCCTATTGGACCCAGACAGTATTTATCGGTAACCACAATTGTGGTTCACCAAAAATATCTATTATGAGAAAAACTGTAAGGTGTGTTTATCAATGACAAAAGAATAGCGTAAAGAAACTAGTAGGTGTTGCACCGCAAATATGCATGAAGATGCAATTTTGGTGACAAAAATAATGGCACTGATAAAATCTGAGGGTTAATCTCAGAGTGAAAGAGAGAGAGACAGTAATGGGGTTTAATGTCCACTCGACACAAACTAGGTCTTTCGAGGCTAACATATGGTTTAATTTTTTTTTTCAATAATTCTCTTGTATATATAGTGGTCTTTAGCAGTGGGAGGAAACCGGAGGACCTGGAGAAAACCCACAAGGTTGAACAAGCAACCCTACTTCTTGTCACGTACAACCAGGGAATCGAAACCATGCCAGTTGCCTCAATGACAGACCTTATGAACAGTGCGTACATGCTAACCATTCGACCATCCAACCAATCTCAGATACTACACCTTAACCAAATGACCACTTATATCAAGACGAGACAGTGTACCTGAAAACAGGAAGAGGCATATAGGAGATGCATATCGAGATGCAATTTGGGGGCAAAAACAAGAAAATCCGAAGGTTCATTTCAAATACTACTCCCTAACCACATGACCACCTTGTACCTGTACATCAAGAAGAGACATGCACAGGTATATCATTAAATGGTTAACTGATGCACATATATTTAATGATAATAATCAGAAACTTCAAGAACAACACACTCTCAAAATAAATTAAGGTTCGTGCATGAGTAGACTATCACAAAAACTTTTTTCATTCAAAGTTTTTTCTTTATTCTGCATGTACAATTAGACAAGACTGACAGATATAAAATATGCACACGGCTTTGAATTGTTTCATATTTTTAACATCTTTTACCTCAAGAGACCTACATGTACTTATACAAAGCAGAAGAAAATAAATATACACACAGATATATTCAACAGATTGTTCAAAGTTTCATGCTACAATTGTGCAAAAATGGTCCCCTCCTCAAAGCACAAATTATTTTAAAGGGAGAGAGAGAGAGAGAGAGATGGAGAGAGAGAGAGAGAGAGAAATGGGGTTTAACGTCCACATGACACAAACTAGGTCAATTCGGGGCTAACACATGGTTCAATTTTATTTCAATAATTCGCTTGCGCATACGGGGTCTTTAGCAGTGGGAGGAAACCGGAGGACCTAGAGAAAACCCACGAGGTTGGATTATTTCAACATTGCAAACACGACTTATTGGTCAATTTAAATCGACATTGATGTCGTTATCTCACCATGAAAAGATGGGCTTCTGACATCCAACATTTAAGATAAAATAAAATATTAAAACTGGCACAAGAAACGTGTGCCAGAATGCTGTCAGATGCTATTTGTAATGAAGCGACTCGATGATAAAGGCTAAACATATCCCACAGGAGAATACTACCATTGTGCTTGATAACGATAAGAGGATACTTGTCGAAACGTCGTGCTATTAGAATAAAACCAGTGATTGTTTCCCATAAAAATTGTGTTCTGTTACTACCGGTGTAGGCAGGAATAACCCGATGCCAATGACTACCATTCAATTTGGACTCTTCGCATATTTCGCCAAACATATAACTAATTAGAAATTAGAGTAAAAACAGAAATGACTGAATGCAAATCAGTTTATATACATTCATGTGTTAGCACCTTCAAATTTAAGGAATTTAGACCTTGGCAGGATTTAGTATTTATGCTGCTATATTTTTGTTGAAACTAATTTTTAAAATTTATAAACAAGCATCCACAAACATTTTTAAAGGGTTGTAGGGGGGGGGGGGAGCGAGGAAAGGGTGAGTTTCATTAAATATGTATAAAAAATCTGGGCTTTCTCTAATCTATCCTCAACAATCTAGTTAATAAAATTTATGCATAGAGTATGATTTGTATTTCAATCGAAAGGCTGTTATTATATGTATGCATATTTGACTTGTCAAACATGAAGTAATCAGATTTATTCATGCACAAAATATTAAAACATGTTCAGTCTAAGTCCTTATTATACTTACATATACAATTCTACATATATATAATCATAATAAAATCTTTATACTATTACATGGTCACCATAACCTAATACAGTAATATAACTTAAAGCACCATGGTGAACAAAAAGTTAGAGAGTTGGTGAAATGGGGTTTAAAATCCACTTTTAAAACAAACTAGATCATTTTAGGACTAATATAACTTCAAAATACACAGTGAAAACTAGATAAACAAAAAAAGACAGAGTGGGTGAAATGAGGTTTAAAATCCACTCAAGACAACACTGTAAACCGTTCAAAAATTAATCACTATACATCAATAATCAATTGGGTTGTTTATTTTTTAACAGTAATCGAGAAATTAAACACTTGTAAATTGGACATTCATAATCGAAATTGAATGGTCAGCTTTAAACTGGACA